TCTATACCATACAACACTGAACCAAGGAAAAGCAAAAAAGCATTAATTTTCACAAGAACAAAGTTACATAGACAACATGCCATACATCAACACAGACACCCGCTCCAAACCTAACTCCTCTTCCAGCAATGGATTCGAGAACCTCGTCCAAGATCTAAGTGACGCTCTGGGTCCGAGCTCGGGTCTAGATTCCGATGACATTGATCCAATGGACATCCTGCGCTTAATGGAACGATATGATTCAAACCCAGATGAATGGCTTTCCTTTGCGCTGGGAGACTCAAAGAAGAACTACACAAGGAACCTCATCGATGAGGGCAACGGCAAGAGCAATTTGGTGAGTTGCTCGTACTTGCTTGCGTTTATCCGCCGTTCTTATGTACAATGGCATAAAGGCAAAGTACTATCACGGATCTATACTGACATATGATGCTAAAGCTCATCCTAGTCTGGAGTCCCGGAAAAGGAAGCGCAATACATGATCACGCCAATGCGCACTGCGTCATGAAGGTACTACTATATTCTCCATAAGACGGAGGTCATCCGCCCACAAAGCTAACCACCGGATTCAAATACTTTGTAGATTCTAAAAGGCTCTTTAAAAGAAACCCTCTATGCCTGGCCAGATCAAGACAAGCTCCAAAATGGGGAATCGTCTCCACCGCAAATAAAAAAGGAGACTATATACGATGAGAATCAGGTTACGTATATGTCCGACAAGGTTCGTCTGATATTTCCTGTTATGATGATTGGACCGGGTATCATCTTTGGTGTAGCATGGCTAACACTGAGTCGCATCTTACAGCTGGGCCTTCATAGGATCTCGAATCCGGATCCTAATGATTATGCCGTGTCGTTGCATTGTAGGTCTACCTATCATATCGTGATGATTACTATGGGTGTGATGGCATGCTAACTTCGATAAATTGAAAGTATACACTCCTCCCAACGCAGCAACGCACGGCTTCTCCATCTTCGACGATAAGACCGGTAAGGCCTGTCATATCAAGACGTCGCATGTTTACTCGGTCCGGGGGGAGCGGTGTTGATCTGAGTCGCTGTTTGTCTTTTTTTCTTATTTATACCACCCCTACTTATTCTTAGCTTGGTGATTGCGTTCAGTTGTATGGCGTCTTGTCATTCGATATCCATCTGCTGTTTGTGAACTAGATTAGACGAGGGCATGTGAATATTCTTGGGAGGTTGAGGAGTTGCTGACTAGCGCAAAATTCTCACAACACATCATAGCTCTTTCATTCGCTCAATCAAACCACAGTATTAATAAACATAGAATAACAGTCGTCAACTCAGTCTTGAGACACTCAAAGCAGATTAAAATCACAAGGATGCGCTCCTAATGTATGGCATAGTAACAGTTTGTATCCGCAAAACGAAACAACACAGCAATCGGATGCATATGCATGTGGGTCAATAAGATACTGTACAATGCCAAACAAGGTATAGAAGGAACAAACAAGAAGAGAGCACTAGCGAAGATAACAATGCTGTGTGCACAAACAAAACACAAAATGCAAAACAAAAGACAGCTAGCTAAGGGATAAAGATAAAACTCGCATTGCCGAGGAATGAATAAGAAGAATCAATGCTCAAACCAAACGCATTTCATACATAATATCGTACGTAAACTCATGACTGTGACTCCCTCAAGCATGACCAGAAGCAGCCGATGAGCGCATCAAGATCCGCTCAAACAGCAAATCTGGATTGTCCAACACTTCGGACTGACGTCGACGAAGGTCCTCGAGGCCGACTGTAGGGTTCTGTAAATCTCCAATATAAGTACGTCGCTCGAAGGAGATGCAAAAAGATATCAACCGTGATACCCACCCAGTCCTCCTGGTTCGGCACACCGTGTGCGGGCGGAAGTAAGCCTGTGTCGGAGTCTTCTTCACCTGGGATAGGGGGTTTCCTGCGAATAGGTGCCGGGGTTACGGGAAGGCTAGGCCGTTCTTGCTCGCTGGGGAAGTCTGTCACCCGTGTATTGTTGGACCAGCTGAAAGTGTACCTTTCTTGGCCGGATACTAGGCTCTGTCCTGTGCTGGATGGGCCGCCGGTGAGCACCTGCACCTTGCCTTTGCGGGCTTGTTGTATGGATTGGATGTATTTTTGGATCTCCGGGATTTCGTCCCAAGCATTAGACCGCGTGTAAGAGTCCCAGGATTCAGTTGGATCTTCAGATGTCCAGGACGTCACTCGAGAATCAGGTGACGGGCCAGACTCGTCTTCCGTGCTTTCAATGAATGATCTTGGAAGGGTAAATGTAGTTGAGCTCTGGTCGTCTTCTGGGAATACACGCGTTGGTCTAGGCGCACGAGTCTCCCAGGGAAATACCTGGGCAAGCTTTTCGGGCTCCGGCTTGGTGCTTGGGACTTCATAGTACATGTTCTTTGGTGCTTCCGGATAGGATTCTGGAGGCTGGAAGAGCTGCTCATCCTGCGACATGGCGTAGGTCTTCTTCTCCAAAGCGATACCTTCTGGCTTCGTGTTTAGTGGCGGAGGTTCCCTAGAAGCATTAGCAATAAGCAATTAGATAAGTTCCTCAGTGGCTTACTTGGATGCATCCCATTCTGCCTTGGGCGGCTCAAACGTAGTCTGTACTTCAGGTTTCGGAGATGGCGGTGCAGGTGGCTGCTCGTCAGGCACATTGGCTGGCTCTGTAGGCTGTTGATGGTATTCGTGCTGGAAATATTGTGACTGTGGCTGAGGTGTTTGTATATGCGATGGCACGCTAGGTTCATGTGCACGCGATTGCGGCTCGCTATGGGCTACAAATGATGTCTCGCCTGATTGAGGGTGTATGTATGCCGTGACATGCTCTTCCCCACGAACATACCGCGGAACAGCGCTTATGATTGGTGCTTGTGCACTCTCAACCGCACGCTGTTCCTGTCGTTGCTCGTGCTCAGTGGGTATTGTTGAGCCTGCTACAGGCGCAGGTTCGGGAGCTGGTGCTGCCACACTCTGTTGAGGATGTGATTGGTAATTTTCATGCGCTTGGTGCACCTGTGGAGCCTCGTGCGCAACTTGTGTAGAGTAGCTTGGTGCCGATGCTGGTGGTTGAGTTGGTGGCTGAGCTGGCTGGAACGGCGCGAAGTCCTGGTGAGAAATCTGTTGATGTTCTTGCGGGTGTACGTATTGCGCTTGCGACGACGGTTCGAAGTGTGTTTCTTGAGCTTGCTCATGAGACACATACTCCGTATACTCTCTGTGCGGCGGCGGCGGCGGCTGTACATCCTCCTGGTGACCCCCATAGAAATCCTGATGTGGGGTTTCCACCTGAATTGTAGGCACAGGCTTAGGTAGCTGGATTGGCTGCTGGTATAATTAGCTCATGGACACTATGTAGAGATGCCTCAATGGCTATCCACGGGATAGTACTGACACTCGTAGTCACAACAGGACGATAGTGCCTATCGTAGACAGCCCACCATCTTCCCAGCAACTGATTATAGGGAGATTGAATTGGTTCCACCTGCCTCGCCATATTCCAGGGTTTCTGAGCACCAATGAAATGAATCATGCTGATCGTACTCTGAAAATGCTTGTAGGCGGGGATATACTGGTAGTTCGCACTAGGTGTGCAATTGTACGAAAAGCTCAGTCTGTGCCAATCGCGAAAGTGCATGTTCAAAAGACCCTGATCAGCGCCATCGAAACTGATACCTCGCTCTGCCAATGCTCTGAGAGCAAGATAATCCTGTAAATTAGGACGGAGCACCATAACACCGCTGTTGAAGCAATCCGGCCAGCCTACATCTGGAACCGCTGCGAAATCCACCTCCAACTCTAGGAGTTCATCGGGCGCTCTGAGTGCGACCACATCACAATCAATGTAGACTATGCGCTTGTACTGTGTTTGGCGCCAGAGCTCGATCTTTGTGAAGGTTGCAATCAAGTCCGGCCGATCCATGAGCCAGAGGTTCGCTGGAGTGATGTTTGTCAGAGGGTGCACGGGGATTAGTTCATCATAGACAGCCTAAGGCGCGCTAGTCAGTGACTGGCCCTGTGAGGTGGGAATTGTTTCGCGTGAACAAAGCATGCGCGCGCGTACCTGAAGTTCCTGGATTGTTGCTGGCTGCAAGCTGTCCGGGGTGAACAGAGCAACCAGCTTAGCTTTGGAGCCATTGTCGCGAAGAGAATGAGCAAGAACGGTGGCGCCTATAGATTGAGTGGAAGCAAGTCAGGAAGGCAGCTCTGAACAGTAGTCTGACAGTCACAGGAGCAAGCATACCTGGGAGATAGTGATCACTCAGTAGAAGCTGTCGGGGGACCAATTAGTAGCAGGCAACGTGATCACGGGATGAGGAGGCGGAACATACAGTGCAGTAAACGGCACTTTCTTGAACCATTGCGGCGGGAGGTGAGCCGCGCGATCCACGAGACCACCAGCTACGAGAAAAGGGAGTGATGCAAAGAAACAAAAACAAACGAGTGTGAGGTGCACGAAGAAGACGAGAAGGAAAGCAAAGAGGAGAGAAGGCAGGAAGTTGAGAGCTAGTCTAGGAGGTACTGAGCTAGTTCACCCCCAAATTACTACGATCCCCCTCACTCGCAGGTGACGTTTGGAGCTAAACCCCGCCCGCCAGCATAATCAGCAATCAGCAAAGTCGGGCCCGGCTGTGAGCAGTCCTTGGGAGGCTGGGGGAGTCAAGATGCGGATGGTACCAGACTTCTTTTCTGGTTGGATTTACGAATACCCACACGACAACTGAATTGAATTGCTGTGCTTGCTGAATGATGGGGAATGGAAAATACAAGAAAAGAAAAAATAAAATAAAAAGGAGAGCTCGTTCGTGGCTCGGGACTACTACTCTGGGGGAAAGAAAAAGTCAATGCGCGCGCACTGGCTGGGGATGGTCTGAGGCAACGCCAGGGATTATTGGTGAGGAAGCGGCAGAGCTCAACTGCATCAGGCCGCGTCCCCGTGCCACCGACGCTTGCTCCTCCCGGCCGTTCATTCACCGGATGTCGGAGGTGATGCACGTTGCGTTGCGAAAACTCCCGTCTAATTAAAGGAGAAAGGGAAAGAAGCTGTGGAATTCCGATTGCAGACCAGCCTAGAAGCCAGACCGACAGCCAACCTCCGCGAATGCCCCTTGCATGTCCGCACTCTTTAATTCCCCCTTGGAGTGCACCGATAGCGGTCTCGGCGCGGAAACAAGAAACCGTGTACCTGGCTTTGTGTCCCCCTGCACCTGCTGAGCCAGTCTCGGCAAAACATTCACAACAACTAAGGAAGGACTAGGCCAAAGGGAGGACCATCCGTCCTAAAATAGCATTTCAAGCAAACAACACGATCGGATCAGTTCACTTCCGAAGAGTCACTACAGCCGTTGGATAGCAAGCCTTCATAACCGCCCCGATGTCCTCCTTCTCGCCCTTGACAGCCCACTCAACCGCCTTTTCCAAGGCAACCTGGCTCTCCCGTTCCATCGGAGTGAAGTGTCCCGTGAGTGGAAGCTCGACCAACTGACTGTCTGCGACAAGGTAATCGGCGAGGCCATCCAAGCAGATTTGCGGCTCCAAGGCAATGTCTCCCTTGCCCCAAATAACGGTCGCACAGGCTTTCAGGGCCCCCTTGGGTCCGTCATCAAACAGTCCAGCCCCGCTGCTGGCACGACGGGCACCGCTACCGCTCGCGATGCTGTGCAAGGCAGTAATCGTCTCAACAGATTTGTCCCAACGCGCGTAAGCAGTTCCATCTCTGTAATAGCAGGCCATGTGCTGGAAGCTCGACGGTGCGCGCTCATTCTTCAGTGACTCGGGATATTGCTCGCCATCAGCGGTCTGAGTCCCGGATTCTGCAACTGACGGACCCAAGGAGCTAGCAAAACACTCCGCAGCATCCTGAGACGTATACTCCTGCTTTCCGAAGGAGCCTCTGTGGATGAGCTTCAGGAAGGAATAATTGCCACCCCTTCCGAAAAACCGAACGAGAGGCATGGGCAGCTGCATAGCAAAGATGTACTTGGACTTGAAGAATTGCCGGTAAACGGGGCTCATGGTGGCAAAGGCCTTGTAGATCATCGAACGTGATTGGATCGGCGAGCGCGAGGCCGTCTTCAACATCTTAACAGATGCAGACAACAGACGACTAATGTTGGACGTGGCAAGTGCAGGCTAACATCATCAGCACAACCGAACATACCCATAGAATCTCAGCAATAACGTACCAATGGGCCATTACTCAAGATAAACCGATCCGCCAACTGAGGAGCTTCAGCCGCAAGTCGCATAGAAACAACACAGCCCCAGTCATGCGCGACAACAACTAGCTTCTTCTGGCGCATACCAGCCTCCGTATCCACGCCATATTTGGCTCTGATCGCAAGGATGAATTCCGTCAGACTCTCGAGCACATTAGTAGGCGAGTAATCAGCCAAGCTATCAGTCCCACCATATCCCGGCATATCAACCGCAATGAGCGTCGCAGACTGCTGAAGAGACGAAGAGCTCAGAACATTGCGCCAGATGGCCCAACTATCAGGGAACCCATGGATAAAGACAACCACAGGTTTATCCTGATCCACCGAGGCTCCCTGGTCGTTGCAAACGTAGTGAAACTTGAATCCATTCTTCAGGCTAAGTATATGATGCGAAAAGCCATCCCAATCCTTGGACAAGTCCCAGAACTTGTTGCGCGCTAGGATTCATCAAATGTAATCAGCTTTATGTCCCCCGCACAGTCCCAGCATAGCACGTAAAACAAAGAAAAGCAACATAGACAAAAATTCTTACCGATCTTCAACTCCAACTCCTCCTTTTCAGTAGTCTGCTTAAAAAAATACCCCAGTTTCACAGCAACAAGGCCATAAAACAACAGTCCGCCCAACCCATATGTCAGAATCACAGCCGATTTAAGCTTTCCAAGCACCCAAGCTGTGGGCGTCATGATGCAGTATGCATGTATTTTATCCCATGCAGACACGGAAACTGTCAAACAATCAATCTCAATCACCAGCACTACAGAACTTAAGTAAAGTCCGACAACTGAAAGATTGCAGGAAAAGGAAACAAAGAAATCGAAGGGAAGAAGATGCCAGAGCTGACGATAACAACTAACCAGCGGAGGCCGAGGCAAATTTATAGACCAGAGCAAAGCAAACCGAAGATCCACCTGACGGAACTAGTCCGGATAGGATAGGGGAAAGGGAGGGAGGATCTTAGTGGAAAAGATGGAAGGATTGAGGTGGAGGGGAAACGGTTCTTGGCTGGTGTGCAAGCATAATGGTAAGTGTGTGTTTGATAGCTTTAAACTACCCAGTGCTGGTTAGTGCTTGTCTATTAATGGGGCAAATTCCGAGACTGGAAGAGGTCTCCGCCACCCAAGCTCTTCTTTCTCTGGAACTAACCAAAGTAACTCTATGGGAGGAAGAGACGAGAGGACTGGGGCCCGATGACCTAATACCCGCTCAGATGGGACCCGCAACATGTGAAACGGGGCCACAATTAATTCGGAGAGTATAAGGATTTTTGTGCAGTGGTGTTTGGTACAGGGCAACAGCATAACTAAGAATTTGAGATGTGGAATTCATTTTCGGTTTCTCGTAAGTCATATATACACACATCAATTGGCAATTCCAAATTTTCGTCTCATCATAGCAAAAGCTCCAAAACGCCATATATATCGTACGTTCGTTAAACAATGGGGAATAAGACAGAAAGCAAAATAGCAAAACCTGACAGTCATAATACAAAGCTAGACCGAAAAGCCCAGGTCATGTCGGTTGTCGTCAACTAGGCGCCCGTACCTATTGGATGGGTTTTTAGTATCAGGAAAGCAAAAGATACAAAGAGTGCACTTACTCTAGTAAAAGTCGGAAGAACCAGACCTCCATGTCCTCGTTCCGAAGAGCTTTCTGCGCCCATTCCCGGCCTTGCTGAGCCAGTCTTGGTGCGATCACTCTGCCCTCTTCTTCGGACTCAAAGTATCGTATTGCCTCCAGATAATCATCTCCAGTTAGGCTCAAAGGTACGTAATGTGTCCAGGGTTTGAGCCACTCATCATGCCACTCGCGGAAAATTGAGACCTTATGAACGAGACTCCTGCTGCGTAAGAACGCATAGAACCGACCACTGAACGCATTTCCATCCATGTCCAGCAGATGTTTGTACGCCCAAGCGTCTTGCTGATCAACCGGTTCCGCCAAATCAAAATACTCTCCCTGGGCGGCACAGTCCTTGTCATCACATTGGCCAATGTACGTGAACCGAACGTCGAATAGATCAGCAAAGGAGTTTCGACCAACTCCTCTGGCCTTCCATTGGTTACTTTCAGTCTTGGACAGTATCTTGGCTGTATTGAGGGCATTAACATTGCCGACGAACAATTGTCGATGCTGCCGCCGCCAGCCTCCAGCTCTGGAGTATCCTCCAGTTGTTGAGCCTCTCCAGAACATCTGGCTGCTCTTCTCATTCCACTCCATATCTTTGTCTTCTTCGTAAGGTACCTGGTCAGACCAGTACCAAGGGCTTGGGTACAGGATGTCCTGGTAGCTCGAGATCTTGCTCTGCGAGAAGACCGGGAACAAGTCATGTACAGCCTCAAACCTGTTTGGCCGGTCAAAGAACCCATACTTGTGGCGGAGGGAAGGTGAGTTGCAAATGTCAGAAAAGGCGCTAGTGTTGTATATAAATCCTAACTCGCCCTGAGCGTAGGAGTTTACATTATCCGCGGCCTGCTCATCAAGAGAGCGGACCGGACTGTCGACTGGACAAGAAGACCGAGAATAACTCCACGTGGACTGACGGGTAAATCGATTGAAACGGGTAGTACGCACTTCATCAATGCGGTCACCCTTGTTCAAGTCGCTGGGTCTATCTGACCATGCATTTTTGGGCATGGTATTCGTAACAGTAATTTGAGAGACTTGCTCTCTCGCAATTGCAACCAGCCTCTGGAGATCTTCGCTGGGTACAACGACTCGCGGCTCATCGAGGGCATTGAATACAAGATCCATATCAGGCAGATACTCGACAAAACTTTCGATCATCTTAGCGGTGGCACTGCGCTGCCAGCTCTGCTCGAATGCTCCGCCTTCCACCAGTGACACAGATCCATTTCTGATCAGTACCCCGATCATAGAATTGTCGAAGCCCAGCGTCTCGCGAGCCCGATCGCGAATAGTCTTTGGTTCGAGGGCCCAAAATGGCAACAGAGCATGATATATTGTATCGTATTCATCAATCAGCTGAACTCCTCTATCTTTGGCAAATTGAAACCATTTGTCAAAATGCGGGGGCGGGTGCATGTTGTAACGCTCTCGATATTCATTGGCAGCCTGAGCCAAGGTCTTCGATTGACGTGACAGTAGCCGATCGAACTGCTGCTCCGCATTATTGACAAGCGATGCAATCGGATGAAGACTGTCCAGCTGAGCAGCCTTTCGGAGGTCAGACTGTTCAATAAGCTGGGCATTGGACGGTACGGGGGGCCTCTGCAAAGCAGTCGGAGGCCGAGAATCGGGAGAAGGATAGAGGTCCACAATAGGTGAGGGTGAGGGGCTGGGACCTCTGAAGAAAATGAGGAATAGGGAGACGAGGACAAATGTGCCCAGCCAGACCACAAATCGTTGGGTTCGCATTCTGCCACCAGGGCGAGTCTACGCCATGCAGAGAGACGAGGTTTGTTGTTTGTAAACAAACCGGGAACTAAGCAGAGGCAATGATATTGAGTCTTATCGGTCCCTCGAAGATGCTTCAGTCCCCTGATTCAGCGAGAGACCAGAGCCACCAAATCTCTGAAGAAAAAATTTGCAGTAAGAACAATGGTCAATGACGAGAATGTTTCACAAGCATTGCTAGCATTCCATTGATCTGCCTGATGGACGAAGAACGATGACGGTATCAACCAGCGGGAAACTTTATCGGTCGGTCCCTCTGGCAATCCCGTGCACTATACCCGTTTGGGTATCAGTGAGTGCCCGTGCGCGGTTGTTACTACATCGGGCTAGTGGCAGAAGGCTATATACAAGATGGCCGCCTCGAAGTACTATATATCCTCTCGAGTGGAGTACGGCGACAATGTCCACGCCGAATCGAGGGTTTCTTTACATATACGAATTAACAAAGCTGTATGAACGATAACAGTTGCAATTTGACTGAAATAAATAAGTAGAAGACATAAGACAACTAGACAGGCAGACATGAAGCCAAACCACAAAAGAAAATTGCAGCATTATGCAGGAGAGATAAGCGGACCAAGAAATGGTATACTGAATCAGACATAATGTCAAACGTATCAATCCAACAACGCAGCTTGATCCCAGGTACAGTGACAACATAGCAAATACAGTAAACACATACGCAGCATAAAGCTATATAAAAGTGTCTCAGGTAGTTGTGTAGCAAATCGACCGCTAGTCGATCGAATAGCGGTTAGGATTGCCGGGCCGGTCTCCAGACTCGGGATAAGCCACTGGATCCCTTCGCGTGATGGAGGCAATAAAGGTCGATATAGTCCCGCGGCGACGTACGTCTTGAATGGCGCTGGCCGGTACACTCGAGGGGTAGAGTTGGTGTAGCCGCAGTAAGATATCAAGCGCGAAATTCTGACAGTTTCGAGTAACAAGGTTATACCTCTTGTAGTCCTCAAACACACGTGTCGCTGCATCCTCAACTTGTGCGAAAGTAGCGAAGGCCCTGGGGATCGTGAAGGATTTGTTGGGTCCACTCTTGGCAACTTGGAAATGGTGCTTGGACAGCCGAGTAGTTGCAGTACATGAGAAGCCACTGCTTTTGGCTTCATAGCCGATATGGTAGAGTATTCCATTAGGATAGCCCACTTGATAGGGCACAAAGATTGCCCAGTGCGAGAGACTGCCGGGTCCCCAAGCTACCAATTGCAGGGGCATCTTTTCAGTGCTGACCATGGGAATCGAACTAAGGCTGGACCTCTGAGACATCTTGACCCCAATGATGCTATGGAAGAACAGAGAAGAAGGATGTCTGTGCTGGTTAGCACCTGCTGTAGCAGTCTGTAATTAGAACATACTTGTTATTTGATTTAGAAGCTAGAATGACCGGGCCTTAGACGTGAAGCATAGAGAGTGCACCAAAGCCTTGGGTGGTGTAGAAGGCACACACAATGAACGAACAAAACCAGCCACCGGGTTATGAGTGCACCGATTCAACGAAAATTGTCGAGTGATTTCAGGCCTTCAGAGGCGTTTTGTCAAGAATGATCCAAAGCCAGCATCATGGCACCCAGGGAGTCGCCTTTATAGACGAAGGCCCAGAGCCTTTGAAATCAGGATCGAGAGCTATTGGCTTCATATTGCATGCTCAGCTGTGCCAGAAAAGATAGCATCATGTTTCAAACTGAGCCACTTCAACAGTGCATCATTGGCTGCCAATGCAGCGCTGCGCTCGCCTTGGATGGCGACAACTTTTCATTCAGAACTCGGCGCCTGAGGAGTAGGGCTACCGGCCAACCAAGGGCATTGCATTTGGCGCGAAAGGTTGTCCGAAGGATGGCACTCAATGGTTTATCGCCGCCATCCAAAGAAGCAGACAAGGCTGAGGAGGCCAAGGTCAGGCCAGTTCGGTGACAGAACTACTGAAATAGAAGTTGGATGAAGATGTGATACCAGATCCGTTGGTCATTACGGAATGATGGGGAAGCGATACCCGCCGGCGAAAGATGGTCCAGCCCATTGCCGTTCCCCACCAATTCCTGGCGGTTCGGGAGTGGGCAGGAAACCGCCATGTCTGGCCTGATCCTCTAAGACGGAGTGTATCAGGATGATCAGGATGGGACCGAAAAGCTAGGAGCAATCAGCCAACTACGTGCCGGACTATTAAGCGCCGCGCTAAGAATAGCAGCAGAAAAGGAGGTTTCTTCCGTTCCGGTGGTCGCGCCATGGCGCGCGCGGGCGGCTCATTTGAGGACGCCCAACAGTAGTTCGCGACCTCACTTCCTTCCTTCCCTCAGTCATACTCACCCTCACGACTTCGCCATCATCTACAACATGTCGGAGATAGAGGAGATTGAGGCCCGCCTGGCTAAGCAGCTGGAGGAATATCGGAGCATCATACAAGGCACAGACCTCTACGAGTATATGGGGAATCGCGTGGTGGAATCCCGAACCACGAGCGGTAACTTGGTCGCTGTGAAAGTGAACCGGAAGGAAGACTACAGGCGATCGGAAGCTGAAATGATGCAGTATGCCCATGAAAAAGGGATCCTCACACCTCGGGTACGCGGTTGCTATGATGTGAAGAGGGGTGTCATAGCCACAGTGACTGACCGGGTGCCTGGCGATTCGCTTGATAAAGTCTGGCACACCTTAACCAAGTCTCAGAAGAAAAACATTGAACTCCAACTCAAGCAGCAGGTAGGTTTCATAACCTACATTGCCTGGTTTAGCAATTTGTGTGCTCACCTTTTCAAGGTACAAGAGATGCGGAAACACACCCAGCCGTATATTGGCCGTATTGGCAATGTCACGACATATAATTTCTTTGACCGCCTGCACAATAATGACATGGGTCCCTTTGCTTCAGAAGAGGAATTTGATGAGTGGTGCTTTGCCAGAGTTAAGTTTCCTTACCAACAGGCATTCTGGAAGCGATACTTGCCTAAGATGAGGAAGAAGAGGCCTTCAAAATTCGTTTTGACACATGGTGATCTGTCTGCGCGGAATATTATGGTTCAAGATGGCCAGCTCACCGGCATCATCGATTGGGGGTACAGTGGATTTTTCCCTGAATACATGGAGTATGCCTTGGCAACGGTCATTCATGAATCTATAGAGGATTGGTGGCTTCCCGTGCTGAAAAGGGTGCTGGAGCCCTCTGGGTACCTCCGGGCCAAATTTATCGCTACCATCAAGGATCGAGGGTGGTAGTCATCCTTCTTCTCTTGTTCTCTCTCTTATCTGTCTCCTTGTCCAGTTTATCCTGGCGTCATGCGAGCCTCTCATGTCATTGATATGATTTCTGTTAAAGTTGTTCTTAACTCGCCACTGTGTACTTCTTATGTTCCCTCATGTTTCCTCATGTCTACGCTAGATACCCACCCCTACATCGTGCCCCCGAAGGGTGTCTTACACATACAATTTAGGCCGAGGCTGTTTCAATTTGTGCACTATGATCTTTTTTTTTTTTTTTATCAATGACATACACACATACACATATCTCAATGTTTATATCCGGCAGGTTCCCTTGAAATCTCATTCGTGCACTGACCGGAGATCTTTGTTAATGCTATCTGAGTATTCCTGCTATTCAAAATAGTGGCTCAAAAAGAAATATGTATACATGATATATCGTCTGACTACTTTCCCGCGCAGCTGACCTTCAGAGGTCCCCCCATCGCCCTGACAATTCGTATTACCACCAAGAAGTGTAGCCCCTATAAACCGCGATGTAAGACGTGCTCTACCCAATTTTCTTGAATATCTTAAATCCAACTCAGAAGACTGATCAACCTCCGCAATCAGTGGATATGTCGCCTCAAGTTCAACAACGATGGTTGAAGCCTTCTTATCGGGTTTCCTAAGCAATTGCGAGTCCTAAAAGGAAACATTGCTTGTAGGTTGGTGACTAGTAGACTTCGTCTTCAGTCACCCATAGAATAAAGCTTCCACATGGTGTTGCGACACTTCAGTGGTACCAAGGTGGCAAGGTAGTTAGTTTATCGATGACTCGCTGCATCTTTCGAGGAGGTCAATGATATGATAAATTGGTAGTTTCATGACTTGCTCTGGTTTAGCTTTGGTTTATAGAGTACTCGATGCTATATGCCTCCGATAATCAATCGCTGGAGCGGAGGGTGGCCCTCGGATGTAAAGGTACCAGGCTGCGACTACTACGACTATTACTACTGACCACCACTACCACCTAGCAAGTTCACATATGGGCAAGAATTATTCAAAGCACCCTTGACTCACCTGGCTACTTTATTGATAATGGAATAGTTGGCTAAAAAGGGCCGATAATCAAGTGGACCTCTTGAAAGTGTTATGATGGCTTTTCCTGCAAAACGTTGGATCAAGCTATATTGACTGCTCTGTGTCACCCCATCTGTTCCCCGGAGCTATTGCGACTAGGCGTAGAATGAATTTCTCCCAATATGGAATATAGCTTTTTGTATTGAAATGGAGCAACATGTATTCAATACTAAAAATCACATAAGACCGCTGTTGTATTATTATACTCATCTTGCTTTCCATGATATCAAGGTCATCAGCCTGCCCGTAGATCCAGACTCAAGGCCTTGCCGTCTTTGCTGGCGGCGCAGCATGTTCCCGCAGGGCCAAGTTCGAGTCGCTTCCCAAATCAATACCTCCTTTAATCTCCTCCAAGCTCGGCCTGCGTCCACGCTGTACTCGGACCCCAAGCAGCAGGAACCCGGCAGCAGCAATCAACCCAACGACAACTAGAGTCACAATCGCACCGATGACTCCTCCAACGGCGGGGCTGATTCCTTTGCGTCCGGAGGAAGAGGCTGCGCTACTACTCGGGCCATCGTTTTCATCATCCAGGACACCCGGACAGAATACAGCTGACGAAGACGAATCACACTGGAGGCACCACTCCTGCGTCGAATTCAGCGCAAAGGTCTGCATCTCAGCCTTGAACTCGCTATAGGGAACTTCGATGCTGCTGGGACTGTGACCAAAAAGCGGGTAAGATTGGAATTCCGGTGATGTTGTTCCATTGCGCAGGAGGAACCGCACATAAAGCTGAGATGGGTCAGGATAGGTTGGAAATGACTGGTTTTCCAGACTAAAGAGCTCAAAGGTGAGCGAGGCCCCGAGCGCAGGTCGTCCATAGAATTTTCCATTTTCCTGGGATGCAAGTTGCACGAGGGAGGTAAGAGCGACAGCAGGCTCGTAGCCTCCGAAGACGAATGTCAGTTTCCCACTGGTGCCCCGGTAAAGAACATTGGTGTCGAATGCATCCAAGATATTTCCGGCTAGTGTCTGGCCTGCAATTGTGCGAATGGCACTGCTATCGATTGGGCTTGACAATGATGTATCCGAGTTGCCGTTTGTTGCAAAAGTGTATTGATCGGCATACCAGCGCGCAAGCCTTATATCCTCTTGGCTGACGCTGTGCAACAATGTCTCGTTGTGCAAGAGCTGGTATTCTAAGAATTCGGAGACCGCAATGGAGTTCGCATAGTTGACCGAAGAGCGGTCAAAATCGCCTGACAGGGCCTGGATGTAAAGACGGTTGTAGAGCGCGTCAGACTCCTGTATCATTTGCTGAGCCTCCGTGCTAGCCTGGTAGTCAGCATTGGCGATCTGATGCAGGAAGCAATTATCTTGGCCTGCCACCACGACCGACTGAGGGTCGTCCGAGCTCACGGTGACAATGGGTGGATATTGGTAGCCACCCATAGGGGCAGTCGCAAAGCTGCCATTGGCCATGAGATACGACGGGTCAGGATATTGCACGTCGTAAGTATCGTTGAGAGGTGGGTATAGCCCCTGCATAAAAGCCTGCGCAGACGCAATGACCGATGGATCGGTGGTAGACAGAATATCAAGATCTTCATCTTCGAGAGCATATGTAGAGATGCTCTCGATTCTCGTACTCGGACTGACATCGGTCGAATGGATTGCAACATATCGATCTCGGAAAGCAGACCCAGCTTCATACAGTGTGTTGGCACCATATGGTGTCAAAATATTGGGGCGAGGCAGGGCTGTCGGGACACGGTCTCCGTATAGAGTGTAAGCGAATACCGCCCAAACTTGCTCTTTCAGGTCCTGAGCTGAAGCCTGAGTAGCTGCCTGCAGGATTGCCGCAAGGGCGACAAACTGGCGCGTAGAAAGCATTGTGGGGCTTCTTAAAGTCGGCCTCTCATGAAAAGTGAAGATGTTCAGTCGACACTATGGGTGAAGACTACCAAGCACAATCATGTATACACGAATGAGTGTCGATCATCCAACAGTGGGAGGGCCCCAGATAAAAAGCATTGGCAGCACTGGTAGTTACATCCTACGGAACCGGGTCACATAGAAAATGTTGAACCTGCGGGGAGTGCTCATGGAATATAGGGCGAGGAGGGTTCTAGAGGTGTCAAACTCAAGGACCGGTCCGTGTCTGGACTCCTCCAATGGTCGGTTAACGTCTGGTACAGACCACGGACGTAACAGCGCAATAATCTTGCCTACAATCAAGAACCATGGGAATTGCCTTTGTCCATCCGACAATCAGGGCTGAGCTGCTCGGAACACACCAGTCCTGTGTCTGCATCCCTAATCATGCCTATAGATGCTATAGAGATAGGTTAACTTAGACCCTTGCAGGAGGAGGTGTTCTCGACATGGCTATAGTGGTAGACGCGTCTATCTACTGTCACTTGTTGGCATCCTCAGGGATGAGTTCGTTCTGCATATGCCATTGTACCACTCTCCAATCATCCTTAAAAAAGCAGCTAGAGCACGTCAGTGTGTTGCAATGGTTTAAGGTAGAGGTCTAGAAAGAGATAGGAGGTAGTCTATGACGCATGGATAGAGTAGCATTGGACGGAAGTAACCTTGGATGAATGTTACCACTGAGGGGTCAAAAAGTGATCAAATGATACACTAGGAAGGGACTTTATAGTCAAGAAGTGAAGCCTGTTCCGGATTCAAAATGGGGTGTGAACCAGAGAGTGGTGGAAGAAGAGAAGAAGTAACAGTAGAATCTTGAGTATAGAGAGAGAGAAGTGGAGGATCAGGCACCCAGGCAAACAAGAGAATGGGTTTCCGAAAGAGGAAAGGCCAGGAAGACGGTCGGGGAAACACAACAGAAGTACTACAACAGACCTGGGAATGACCAAACAAACATAACTGGATATGTTGTCTTTCATTATACTGGAAGAAAAATAAATAAATAGAATTTGAAAATAATACAGAACATTAAATCCAACTAGTGTACTATCTATATCGTAAGTATCCCCAGGAAATAATGGAGCTGGAATCCACACCCCCAGCCGAGTTCCCCGACCGACCGGGCGGAGAGGGAAAAAGTAGGAAAAATCTGAGGGGGCGATTCTCAATCTAACACTTCCCAAAAGCCCTACGCCTGCGCCCTACCCCTAAGCCCTCATTTCTGCTCTTGGAAGTCAACGCCTATCCCTTCCATCAGGAATTGTTCCTATCATGGTCGACACGAGAGGTACAGACCCGTCTCTCGACGAGGCGGCCTCATCTGAGTTGCCTGTTCCCTCCGTGACCGATTCCGCCGCTCATGGTGAGTTCTCCTGCGCGCCGTTCGAAGGAGTCTCTGCTCCCGCTGGCCCCGACAGCTCCCTGGGTAGATTGTCTTCAAATCAAACACCCTGGGGCCAGTCCTCTGCAGTGATGAAGACTTTCTGTATGCCCTGTTTGTTTCCATTCACAGGGTTGACGTGAATTTACGGCAGTTTCCCCCAAAATGTCTCACCCTCTCGAGGAAGATGACGGTTCCCTCTCGCCGCCAGCTTCTAAGAAACGCCGTCTCGAATCCGAGCCAGCTGACCTTTCACTACCACCTCCACCGACCACCTTAACTGCAGATCAAGTACCGGGAAATCAGATTGAAGAAGAATTGGCATCTGCATTAGGCTCTGGTGTTGTCGACCCTGTGGACCATCCCGTGGACCGTCCTCTAGACACGCCCGCTCCCATCGAAGGATCTGCAGAAAGCGCGGTGCCACAACCAGAAAGCAGTGCTGATATTGATTCGGACATGGCTACTGTGATTTCAAGTATCATGAATCACGCAGAACGAGTGGAGGAACAATGTGTGTTAGGCCAGCAGCAACTGGCGGAGACCTCCAGCGCGTCGCCTCCGAAGGGCATGGTGTTTGTCAAAGCCAACTCACACCTGAAGATTCAGAGTCTGCCCATTCTTGACAATTTGGTAAGTCGCGACTTACTTCGCGTGACTTTGCTTACAGAATTCTAACCCGCGATGTCTCTAGTCAACCCAGATTCTGTCGCTGTTAGCCAAGTCCTCGTATCAGGAAATCACTTCCTTCGTTTCCGAACCCGAGACCGAGAGTGGCCAAGCCTATGCGACCATGCGGTCGCTGTTCGATCATACGAAAAAAGTCTACTCGAGCAAAAAGTCCTTCCTTTCGCCTACAGAGCTGGAGCTCACCGAATCCTCCCAGATCGATATTATTCGCAAAGCCAATCTAGCTTCCTTTGTTTCCAGTATTTTTGGCACGCAGGAGATCGGATTTTCGGAACTCAACGATAACTTCCTTGATGTGTTTGTTCCCGAAGGTGGCCGTCTACTCAAGGTGCAGGGTGCCTTGTTCTTGGAACTTAAGACCCAGGCCTTCATCGCATCGATGAACAATTCGGAAAGAACCCGAACCGAGCTGCTTTACGACCTGTTTCCCGATGAGCTGGAGCAACAGCTGCTTGATCGGCGTCCAGGGACTCGTCAGCTGGCTCCAAGTGAAGCGGACTTTGTCAAGCGGGCCGGTTCGCGCCGTGACATTCTGCTGAGCGACGTCAACAACGAGGAAGCCATGAAGGCCTTGCCGGACAAGTACCACTGGGAGGATTTTCTTCGGGACTTGAGCTCCTACATCACCAAGAACTTCGATACCATCAGCAACCAACAGGTCTGAATCCCCATCATTCATCTTTGCACGTGCCTGTACTAACGATGAGCCAGACGAAAAAGACCGCTAAGGGTCGACAACCATCCTCGTCCGACGGAGACTCACAGCCGTCCAATGCTCCTTTGCAGGGCCAATTCCCCGTCTCAACCCAGCCACCTGATGTTCCTGTTGACAGAAACATGCACGGCGACTTGGTTGCGCGTGCGGCTCGTGCGGCGCAAATTGCATTGCAAGGCCACGGCTTGAGACGCTCCCAGCAGCAGCAGGCCCAACAGAACCAGCAACAGCAACCGTCGCAGCAGCAACCACAGCAGCACCAACAACAGCACCAACAACAGCATCAGATGCATCAACCCCAGCAACTTCAGCAGCAACCTCCTCAGCATGCGCCGCAGCAGGGGGGCCAGATTCTGCATGGCTATTCTGCTGCCCAGCCCACGGGTCAGATGCAGCATCAGCAGACTCACCAGCAGCCGTATCATCATAGTCCCGCTCCGTCCGGTTACCAGCAACCTCCTGGTCAACTAACTTTCCAGCAAAGCCCCCTGCAGGCCAACTTCCAGCAATACAACCATGTGACTCCTGCTTCGATTCCGCGACCCAACTCAGCCGCAGCCAACCATGGCTATATGCCGGGGATACCACACTACTCGCAGTCTCAGCCGACTCAAGTACTCTACGAGCGCGCGCGCATGGCGGCATCTGCCAAGTCGTCGCCTAGCAGCCGCAAGTCTGGGTTGCCCAGCCAGCGTCGGCCGTGGACGACGGAGGAGGAGAACGCATTGATGGCCGGGCTGGACCGGGTCAAGGGCCCGCACTGGAGTCAGATTCTTGCCATGTTTGGCCCGGGAGGCACTATCAGCGAAGCGCTGAAGGACCGCAACCAGGTTCAACTAAAGGACAAGGCGCGGAACTTGAAGCTGTTCTTCCTCAAAAGTGGCATTGAAGTGCCGTATTACCTTAAGTTTGTGACTGGAGAGCTAAAGACGCGTGCCCCCGCGCAGGCAGCCAAACGCGAGGCCCGCGAACGGCAGAAGAAGCAGGGAGAAGAGGACAAGGCACATGTTGAAGGCATCAAGGGCATGATGGCGCTTGCCGGTGCACATGCGCAGCCGGTTGGCATGACACACGGCCACGATATGTCGGCATCGCCACTGCCACCAGATGCTGGAGCGCATGCGGCGTTTGACCAGACAGCCGAGCAGAACCTGATGCAGACGCTGGGACAGGAGGTGCATGGTGAAGCCTTTGGGCAGCATCACCACCACCATCATCATCACCAACATCACCCGCATCATACCCACCATCAAGACCATGTTGATCCCAATATGCATCTTGGACAATAAAGCGTCCGTCATGGCTTGTGTCTATGCTTCTGCTCAATGTCTATCTCATTCTTCTTTGCTTTTTTTTCCACATGTATCAAAATGCGTTCTATGTTTCCTTTTGCGACATCTATTCTAGCGATTATGTTGATTACCGATGTGACTGTCCGGGGGAGTTGATTGGGGGTCTCGAGGGTGCTTTGCTTGCTGGGGAGACGAATGGCCATGTAGAGTTGGGGCTGTGTACCAACATTGTTCATTTTTCGTAATTGCGAGGCAGAATTAGGGACTTAATGCAAGACTGTACTTTATGAATTGACTGTTTGGCCAATATCAAGCATGTAATTGCTGTAGACGTAGCCAGAAAGATACATACACTATAGTAACAGAATCGGGCCGACCGCGGACAAGAGCAGAGAGACGAATGGCTCTCCGCTCCGGCAGCGCGACCCGACCAGTCGACTCTCCGCCATCCCATCCATCTTTCTTCAAGTCCCATTCATTCTTCGTCTTCCTCCCACACAACCCCCCTGCAGCTTATTCCCTTGTGCTGGTAACTCAGAACCAGCGCACCACCGCCATCCCGGCTCATTGTCTGACCGCCGACGCGCTCCTTCATTCACTATTGGACTAGTTCTGGCCGGCCCTCCCTTGCTCGCCAGCCACCAACCACCCATTACCACCACTCACCTTCATTCACTATTAACACTACCACCATGGCCGACTCATCGGCTTCGCAACCTCCCCCTCCAGCTGCTGCTGCTGCTGCTGCTGCTGCTCCTCCTACTTCCGCCCCGGCTCCAGCTCCAGCTCCCGCAGCATCGCAAGATTCCTCCGCGACTGTCGTCCCCAAACAAGAACCAGACACCGGTGACAACAACCTGGATGCATCTATCGAACAAGACATCGACCTAAACGCAAACAACACCGCCAACATGCCGAATCAGAATCCCGCTGGCAATGACGCCGCCGCCGCGACCGAAAACTCCATCCCCGCGCCCACCTCCGTGGATGCTCTGGCGGCCGCCGCAGCGCCTGCCAAGAAAGAAACCAGCTTGCGGGAGTTCATGGGCAAGATGGATGAATATGCGCCGATTGTAAGTTATCTTGCCTTTCCACCTGGATTCCCCTCCTATGTCACTTTTTTCTCTCCACTACCACCCTCGTTTACTTCCACCTCATATTTCTGTCCAATATCTTACTAACATGAATATCCTTAGATCCCCGACGCTGTAACAGCCCACTACCTCACTCTCGCCGGTCTCCCGCCTCCGGGTAACGGCCCCAATCAAACACCACCACACCTCGCCCGCCTCCTCGCTCTCGCAACCCAGAAATTCATTGCGGATATTGCCGCCGACTCGTATCAGTACGCGCGCATTCGCGCCTCCAACAGCTCTTCTGCCAGCAACCCCATGGGCAGTTTGAACGCCGCCTCGGGATTGAACATGCCCGCCGGCGCTGCAGGTGTGGGGTCCGCTGGTGCCGCGACAGGCGTATCAGGCGGCGATGCAGGAAAGGGCAAAGCGGGTACGCACTTGGGAATCCAGAGACCTGGGTTCGGAGGTGGTGGGTCGGGAGGTTCCGGACAGGGCCGGACGGTGCTTACGATGGAGGATCTGGGTATGGCAGTGTCGGAGTATGGGGTTAGTGTCAAGAGGGGGGAGTTTTATCGGTGATATTTTTTCCTTCTTTCCCTTTCCACCTTGGGAATGCTTTGGGTGGTTTTGTTTGTCGCAAACGTGCTGGATGTTCATGGTCATGGGCATGGGCATGGGGATATGGGTAGATCGGGGACGGGATGGGATGGGATGTGCTGTTTTACTTTACTTTTTCTTTTCACCTTTGCTTGCTGGCGTAAAATACTGGGCAACGGCCGAACGATATCCTGCATGTGGGCCGAGTTTGAAATATACAAAAGGCGTTTAGGGCGGAGTTATCGAGATATGATATGATATGGTAGGAAGGGCGGCAACAAACATAAAGAAAGAAGACAATAACTGAGACAATAATAGAAGTCACTTGATATTCTGTGCTTTATGTGTTGAGAAGTCCATTGACCTGTTGATTTTAAGGGGTGTCTAGTAGTAGTTTACATGCAACACGTAGATATACATTGGTGGAAGAGTAAGCAGTAAGGAACTGGATATAACGCCCGAGATAATAAGAAAAAGAGCCTAGCCATGCAATATGAAATCACCACCTGTCTGTCTGTCTGCCTTGTCTGCTTGCCTACCATGTCTCTTAAGCTGACAATCTACCTATCCCCATATCACAGAGGACCCAGTAAGATTCCAATTCAGAGCACACAGCAGAATAGCCACATAGCGAGAAAACCATCCACAACCCGAAAAGCAATCATTTGTTCTTCGACTGCTTATACGTGAATCTCTTCCGAGTCCTATCGAAACCATTCAGTTAGCAGCAATTCCATCATCATTATCACAGGCCAATCGAATCTCTCAATTCCCCGAATATTTCCAATCGTCTTCCTAACATCTGAGGCCTCCAACCTCCTCAACCTTCCATATCCCATCCCAGCAAGAACAAAACAAAAAGAAAAAAGCTTGGGAAGGGAAAAAAAAAAAAAAAAAAAAAAAACTCACGCAACAAACTCCCCCAACTTCCTCCCGACCATCTCCTCCGTAATCACAACATCCTGATAAATCTTCCCATTATGAACCTGGAACTTCAATCCCACGAAATTAGGCAGAATCGTAGCGCCGCGCTTCTGCGTCTTGATCGGAGGTGTTCCTGGCGGAGCGGGGAGTTTGCGGGGGAGAGGGAGACTAATCCACATTATCTATTAGCATACATCTCTATATCCATCGTATGTGTGTTCGTGGCGAGTTTGATTGAATAAAAGTCGAAGGTAATGACGTTGAGTTGCGGTGTTAATAACAGGTTATAATGTAGGTAGGGAAGGAAAGGGAAATAAATGCGACGACGTACGGGACGATGTTCGGGCCTGTAGGTATGCGTGTTACTTGGGTTCAATTTCTCCAGGAAAATGGATAAAGGGATAAGGAATAGACTCACCCTTCCAGACCGAGCGAGAGAAGAGAGCTCGCGTGGGAAACATTTTGGTTTTTTTGTGCTGTTGGCTTTTGGCTGATGCGGACCGGCGGGTTTGCGATGGATGATTGGGATGGGTTTGAGATGGAGCGGAGGGCGGATGGATTATGTAAGATTTTCTTCTTTGGTATGGGGACTGGTCCATGGTCTATGATTTTATTTGCATGATATAAACTGATGAGGTCTTCGTAGTTATTGGATTTCTTGTTATTTGAATACATATACGAATTTATAGATATTTCAGGTAGCTAGTATAATTCATATAAAAAAATAACGACTGCCGACTTGGTGAGCGAGTAAAAAGAGCGAAATGCGGTAGTATCCATATCTACTCCATACGTGACATCGCGAATCCACTCTGCATGAGACACAAAAAGAAAAAAAATGAATCATTTAGTTAGCATGTCCTGGTTTCGATCCAGGGACCTCCGGGTTATGAGCCCGGCGCTCTTCCCCTGAGCTAACATGCTGGGTTGGTTGAAGGGAGTTGTGTTGTAAGTATTATGACTCAAAAGGGTATGGATGGATGAATGTGTGATTGTTCCTAGATTTCAATGTGCGGCCGCTTCACGTGATATCATATGTCCGGCTACAAACAGAGGTACGTTTCCTCCCATTCAACTTCTATTTTAGATCTCTTGTTTGTGATTTCTATGGTGGACTGTGATTTTCTATTTATCATATGGTGTTATATGAGGAATGAGGAACCTCAGTATCGTTGGTGGTTGGTTCCGTGCATATCCTGTGTGGAGAAAGTGTAGTTACTCGTTACTAGATGCATAGATAGAAGCAGAATACTCCTCTATCGGGATATAACTTAATATTTTAATATTCCACATGATCAGGTTGTCCTCTCATCAAACTTGCCAGCTCATCATAATACTGGCAAGTGATGTAGGCATGTGCTATCGTAAATCAGTGGAGACCTCGTATAGATCACATAGCACAAGTAGCAACTCCTCGCCAAGTCAGCATCATAACTTGGCTATTAGCAGGGCTGTTTTGTATTTACTGCGTTGTTCTAGCGACGGTCTGTAGGTCGTCGTTTTCTGGCACCTTGTGAGATCTCCACAGTCTGCTACTTGGAATAGTAGAATATAGGATGCATACAATCCCGCAGAAGTGTCCCACGCAGAGCACTCTCTAGCATGATATATAGTTTACTGCGCTTTAAGATTATTCCTAGCACACCCTGTGATGAAGTGATGTTTGACAATGTCAAAATGTAAGTTATCCCGCTAGTATAGAGTCTTGGAAGGTTAAGAAAAGGACCAACGAAGTCAGGCTATATCTTTGAGGGATGACGTGTAACCTTGTCAAGGAGCAGACCGTAACAGATCAGAAGAGATTAATAAGAGAGTCTGTACGGACAATTTGATTGTTGTTCGGTTGTCTTGGTAAGAGAGCAGATGGGAAAAAGGAAAAAAAAAAGAATCAGATAGCATGTCCTGGTTTCGATCCAGGGACCTCCGGGTTATGAGCCCGGCGCTCTTCCCCTGAGCTAACATGCTTGGGTTGATGTAAGAGGCTCCCCACTTTGGTATTATTAACCTAAGCCTACGAGCCATGTGCACAGCGCTCATTCATGTGAATTGTGAACATGTCCTATCCTCAACATTAAGATGTTTTATTATGCAACGGTATTCAGTACCATATAATTGATGTACATTTGTATATTCGCTAACACCAAATTGTTTCATATAGCATCTAAATCGCCCGCGAGTTTCGATGCCTTGGCCTGCATATCGTACACTTACTCGACGGCAAGTCCGGACAGGATTTTGATCAAGTTCCGTATCCCTTTGAGCACATTCTCGTCCGGCCCCTGACCTGGTGTCCAACTGGCGTGGGCAAAATCGATCAGACGAAGGTCATGCACCTTCGGGGGATCCTCATCCTCATCATCTTCTAGATCCCCCAGGTCTCCCAGATCGGCCAGCTCGGCCATTTCGGGGTCGATGTTGATATTGATTGCCTGGTGCGATTTGATTCCCTGACCGACCGGGATATCAACCACCTGGATTGACCCGCCCTGCTGGATGTGGAACTCCATGTTTTCCTCTTCCTCGTCTTCGTCTTCGTCCTCGGACTCACCCCGCTCAGGCCGGGGCTTTTGTTCCTCCACAAGCGCATGTTCCATCGCTTCTGGATCTCCCTCATATACAATCAAAACACTTGAAGAATACATCCGGCTTTCCTCTGACTCCAACACATGCTGTACCTTTTTCAGTTCGTCCGCCAATCTCTGGGCGACCAACTGGGAGCGGTCAACGGCCCCAGCTTTGGCACCAGCAAGGAATTTTTGGAACCCTTCTATAACAGTGTCTTCAGTGAGAGACCGCCCATACCACTTGTCGTAGCGCTTATATCCATCTTTCTCGATGACCTCGCCCCGCGCCCCCTCGGAACCCTCGTATTTCGTAGCATACGGATCGGTTTTACTTCCTTCGTCGCTTTCTCCACTCACGCCTGTCCAGACCTTCATTCCCGCAATCCGGAATCCCAGCTTTGAGCTTGTCGTCTCCTGGGATACAGCATCTAGTTTCGCTCGCTTCTGAGGCGGCGCATCATCAGCCCATAGCCTTGCGCCCAGCTTCACGTCCAAAACATTCGGCCGCTTAAACCCCGAAGCCACGTTTTCCAGCACAATAGATATTCCTGTCTCCAGCTTCTTCCCGTTCGAAGGAACCCATGGTAGATCCTGCGCGGTACTCGCTGATCCCGAGGTTGCCGCGCTGGGCTGTGCTGGTGCGGTCGCGCCCGGCGTGCCCGATGTCGAGGAGTAGTCTGATCCGGGGAGAACAATCGCACCGGACTGCTGCGCAGCTTCGATGGCGGAGAACTGCTGCTGGTCGGCAGAGGTCAAAGTCCCTATGTATGTAGGGATAAACTCTCTGAATTCCGGGTGGAGGGCGCTAGACTCGTAAAACGCGACTTCTTCGGGGGTGCAGGGCTTTGCGATAAAGGAGCCGGACAAAGTGCATTGGACACCGTCGCTGTAGTTTTAGCACGACGTCAGTAACCTGTACCGACTCGTATGCAGAGCAAACGAACATTTCTTGGGGAGGGGGAGAAAATAGGAGTGCTGGCCATGAAGCATCTCGTATCTTGCGGCAAGGGCGGAGAGGTAGAACTTACTGGCCAGCGGCGGCATGGTCAAAAGCGACAAAGCTGTCGGTGTCCAGTTTCTGGGTTTTCAAACTATCCGACCGCGACGAAGACATATTGGGCGTCCGAAGAACTAAGGGATTATTCACTGTCCAACAGAGACCGTTGGATTCTAGACGGCATTCCGCATGAGTTGAGTCACGGGTAATGAGAAATGGAAGCGATGCGGAAGGGCGCAGGACGAGTCGGGTAAGGGAGAAGAGAAAAAAAAAAGATGTATATGGTATATATATCTAGGCAAATGCCGGAGAAGAGTAAAAGGAGGGAAAGGAGGGCAATCAAACAAAGGAGAGAGTAATAGGTCGACAGGGCAAACAAAGGGTTGGCAGAAAAAGGAGGGACAAGCCACAGGAGGTGGTGGTGGTGGTGAGTGAAAAGAAGTGGTGGAAGTTGCTGGTTTTGTTCCGAGCTGAAGTGACGTGCAACCGCGGAGAATCATGCAAGCATCCGCTCTTCTTGTGCTGGATGATGGACTGACCTTTTCCCCCAAAGAAACACAAGGCGGCCCGAGCAAACCTGCACCGCCCAGGGATCCCCGAGATGAACTCAAAGGAATGGTCGGTATTAGAAATGTAATCATCCGAGAAGGCTCGAGTGCAGCCCAGAGGAAGTATAATATCAGGCGCTATGATGCCGCATACCGGCGATCATTCGCTGGAAGTTCTTCTCTATACTTCATTGTTCCACTGGATTTCACCCGCGCTTTGCTGAGAATATTACCAATAACCAGCACGTCAGCTTATACTGGTGCCAGATTTCAGCCTGCTTGAATATGGTGCCATAGAGAGTCATGGTCTAATTCACTCACTCATCTTTTGACTAATTCTATTATATGGTGGTGATGGTGAGTTATCTGCTTGTTGCATCATGATAGGAGTCTATGTACGAAAGCCATATGTCATCCATACGCCCAGGAATTTCGACTGGCACTGAGTTCATCACAGCCAGTTACACAGACAAGGCTGTATGTTCAAGTTATCGTTTCTCCTCCTTCTCTCTGGCCCTCTCATTGCACACTGTTGCGCTTTCATCTCCCGCTGCAACTTCTCACGACTTTCCTCAACTTCAATTGAGGAAAGTCGCTGGGGTTTCTCCTGCTAGACTGATCTGATCCATTGAGACCCCCGCATCTTCCGAATTAATATAAATGCACCAGGGGCTTGCGGCAGATGTTTGTTGGCATGTAGGACTCGACATGACCTGTAGACTCACCCTCCCAGTGCGTACCACCCCTCGCATAGCCTCGCGCAAAGGGGTGTTGCCTTGGGAATTGCGCCATTTAACATCTGCACCCCGCTAAATAAGCTGTCGGGCTGCCTTAATGGCAGCCTTGTCATTGACCCCTGTTTGCTCCAGCAGCTGGTTCGCAGATTCGGGCTCAGACACTCGGGATCTTGGTATGCGCGAGTCAGTTGATGCAATAGATTACGTCCCTCGGAGTTACCGACGCGGGCATCTGCTCCACGCGCTGGCAACAATTTGAGTAGAGGGGTGAGGGAGCTATAGATATTGGTACGAGGCTGGATGGCTTGGGTTGCAGCAGGGATTCCCTAGTAATGGGAAACCTTCACTGTCTTTGAATTGGTCTCCAGCAACAGGCCCACCGTGTCCAGCAGCATCATGCGGCTGAAGCCTTTGCAGTGAGAGTTGACCCCGGTTATCCTGGCAGACCACCATCGTTGCTGGAAGCTTCATATCCTCTCTTTGCCAATGCTCCATCACCGTTGCGGATAGTATCCCCCTTCCAGTACAAGCTCGCAATATGCAGCGGCATGATGTTGGCATATGGATCTGCTCATACTTCAATATATCTCCCACGCCTGGCCCTTGTGCAGATAACTACTTTTTACAATCAGCAGCAGAGTCATCTCATAGTTACTACGGTAGAAAGCCGCCCCAAGCAAAGCACTTTTCTTATCTGGTTCGATTTCCAAGACAATTATTCACCCAACGCTTGGTTCTCCCTCAGCAGAAACCTAATCGCAGCACTCAGTAACGCCATCTTCCCTGAAAGTCGCCTCGAGGATGGGCCTTAGTACTGACCTTAGCAAAGGCCTAAATGGTAGGCTCTGGGCAGGCAAGGCCCAGAAAGAATCTAATATGGCCCATTGTTGTGGTATTACACTGTCCTATAATAGTCACATAGCTGGAATTGGCTTTTGGTGCCTAGTCAATGTGGCATGTATTGAGCTAAATCAATACCATTCATCCGTAGACATGAATCTTCACAATGCTCTTGATCTGTAGCAGTCCAATCAATGCGACTTTTACCATCTCTCTTGAGGTATCGATATCACTTCATGGTATGAACGGCATCTACCAGCCTAATAAATGCTGGCATGGAAGGAACCGGCTTTGTCCCAGTTATTTAACAGGTGAATCCCTCTTACTTGCTTCACTGTCGGTGCTTTCTATCACATTCGATTCTTCCATCATTGGCTGTGAATCCAGGAAGTCTCAGATCTAATCTACTGTCAATAAACTAAAGATCTTCAAAACAATGTTTCACGGTGTTCCTCGTGCAACTTCCGAGTTCCATCTCCCACACGTCCAGGTTACCCCTCCAGCTTTTATCTCTCTCTTTTATCTTCCCTCACTTTCCTCCATCCCCTCATCCTCTTCTTAAGGGCGATTCCTTATTCTTTATCTCATCTCAGGGGTCTGCTACTGCACTCACGATGTCGGACTCTCATGATCCTTCAGATACTGGCAAAAAGCTTCCTTTTCGCCCAGCTGCATCGAAAACCATCAACGATCCTCAGCAGACGGACCGATCACCAGAAACATCGGAAGATAAACCAGATTCGGCCCCTAACAGTCCTAAATTCCAGTCACTCGAGGAGTTGCCCATTGAGTTTGACCAGGCCAAGAAGAAAAAGAAGAAGAGCAAGACGCGCCCCAAGAGCAAGCGTGGAAAGGTGAGAACACTAAATGATGCAACGGATTGCAGCCAGACTAAGTTCCACAGAACAAGCCAACCGGTTTCGAAGAGTACTACGTCGACGCACCCATTACCCCCGAGGAATTTAGCGCCGAGAAGGAGCTCTACAATGTGTATGTCCCCAAACTTCCATATTTGGCACCTGCTAACCGCAATATGCGTGAAGCTCGCGACCTCTCACTCAGTAAGTCTTGCCACCTCATGAACTTGGCTCTCATACTGACTAGTCCAAGCCGAATTGAGGATGCCCTTCTACGCTACCAAAAGAATCGGCGCCTGGAGTCAGACAGAAGAGACGTCTTCCTGAAATATCTGGCGTATGGCGGGGTGAACGTGGGTCAGAGGATGTTCGGTGGTTTGGATGGCCGTGACCTCCAGCAACTGGACAGCGAAGAAATCCTACAAGCGCGAGCAATGACCAGTGTAGGCAAGGACAGATCTAATCTTACCGTGGATTTTGATGCAGTCGTTCGCGGGTTTCTGTAGGAGTGTCACACGCCCTGAAACTACGTTTGACTGACTCGTAATAGGACCTCCTTCTTTCCATACTATTTCAATCCTGAAACCGAAGATATGATTAAGCTGGCGACAGTCACCATTCGAAACTTCCTCTCCTACCTCCTTTACCATGATGTATGCCCGGAGTACAAAGATAATATCGACCAGGCCAGGACATCCTGCGATATAGCTACAAGGGAGCTGTGGAACAATCACCAACTCATGGCCAAAAGCCCTGGTGACTTCAACTCGTGTTGCTCCTTGCTTTTCGGTGGCGAGCTCCATGACACATATGTGGAGGACAATCAATGGAAAAACTCCAAGGACGATGCGCCTCGCCTGACGACTGAGACAGCCCGCAAAATCGTCAAATTCGCCCTCGCCGGCGCGGGAGAGAATCGTCATGCCCTCCGGTTCCAGGAATTGACCGAGAATGATACGCTGTGCGCAGTGCGTATTGAGGATATTGATGGGTTTGAAATTACCGCTGTTCATTCTCCCGGAGAAGACGTCCGCGAGTTCTACCTGACGCACGCTCCTGATCTTGTTCCCGTCGGAAAGCTGCTAGCAAGGGCTTACCGAGATCCGGGTATGCCTGATTTCGACCTCAGCCCGGAGGAGCAAGTGGCACAGCAGCCGGAAAAGAATTTTGAGTTCTTCATGGAGGACAATATACTTCAGTACTGCTACCCGGGAATGAAGGTAATCACTCCGGTATGGGAGTTGAACTGTGGATTCCATTATTTCGAGGATGCGTATAGAACGTATGGTTCCAACTACACCCCTCTCGTGAATGACTTGATGCTTGGATGGAAGGAGCCGAGAGATTTAGCCAAAGCAGAGAGTGATGGAGAGGATGACTCGTCTGTTACTCTGTGAGCATCGCCAGAGCAGGCCTGTCCGCGGAAGCTCAATTCTTAGGATTCTAACAGCTACTATCATATTCTCATCTTAGTCACGGCTCATTTCTAGATAGTCGAAACAAATTGATTTCTATTGGAACATATATTCATAGCATCTGCACCAGCTCAAGGCTTCAGCATCGACTTGCCGGTGGTCTTTCTACCCTCCAGATCGGTGTGAGCCTGGGCAACCTCCTCCAAGGGGTACACCTTGTGAACCTTGGCCTTGAGCTTGTTAGACAGGAGAAGCGAGAACAGCTCATTGACGTAGAACTCGAACTCCTCGCGAGTCTCAATGTAGCCGAAGAGTTGAGGCCGAGCGACCTTGACACACTTGGGGGAGAGTTTCCTATAAAGCCATCAGCATCGCAGCTCATAATACCACCCAGAGTAGAAATCAACTTACTGCAAAGGCAAAGGCGGCACCGGACCACTAGCATTGCCAAACCAAACAATAGTACCCTTGCGCTTGACGCTCTCCAAGCTTCCCTCCCAAGTATCCTTACCAACCGAATCAAAAACAACATCAACGCCCTTACCACCCGTAATCTCCTTCACCTGCTTCACCCAATCCTTGCCCTCCTCGCTGCGGTAATCAATCACCACATCGGCACCCAGACTCTTCGCCAGCTGGCACTTCTCAGGGCCACCAGCCGTTCCGATGACCTTCGCACCGATGGCCTTCAGCACCTGCGTCATCAGGGTTCCCGCCCCGCCAGCCGCAGCATGCACCAACACCCACTCATCCTTCTGCACGGGATACGTCTCCTTCGCCAACGTGAGAACCGTCAATCCACTCAGGAATGACGCCATCAGGTTCTCGTCCGTGATCCCCTCGGGGATCTTGATCGTCTTGGCCATCGGCACCGCCGTGTACTCGGCATATCCGCCAGTGCTGAGCCAGGCCACCCGATCTCCGACTTGGAAGTTGTAGGGGTTGGGGCCGTCGCCCAATGCGACGATGGTACCGGCGCCCTCGCGACCCAGAATCTCGGGCTTCGCGGAGGGGTAGAGGCCTGTGCGGAAGTACGTGTCGATGTAGTTGATGCCGGAGATGTTGTTCTTCACGAGGACTTGGCCTTCCTTGGGCGTGGGGACGGGGTGGTCGGCCTTGAATTCGAGGACCTCGGGGCCGCCGAGCTTCTCGACCAGGACGGCCTTCATGGTTTGAGGGACGGACATGGTGGTGAGGGTGCGGATGGGGGATGCGATGGTGGGGTGGAGGTGGGAGTTGATTGCGGAGAGTCTCTGAATCGCTGGGGAAGACAGTGTTGAGGTAATAGTGGTAGTGATGGATGGGATAAAGGATCGGATAAGACGAGGAAAGACGCGATGGAGGGGCATTGGATAATCGGGGGTATTTCTAGTTGCGCGATGAGGGGTGGGACAATAGGTGGGTTAAGTATATCCGGATAGTCGGGTGGGGGGAGGTGGAAGTTCTTCCCCCGGCTACGATTGACGGAGCTGGACAGTCCTGCTGGTTGGTTTTTGCCGAAAGTGGACCGCGACTTGAGGCAGTCGAGTCCCGTCATTTGAAGCTTGATTTTCTGCGCTTCTTCCCCGCAGTTCTTCATTATTCTGCGTTGCGCTTGCGGATATTTGGTCAGGATGTCCGATGCATCTCCGCACTGTATCACCGGGAACTGAAGCAGACCTTTCGGTCGGTATTTTCTACTGCGCCCATTGATATTCGCTGTTTCAGCTATTCAGCGACTCCTTTCCTACTCTCTGGCAATAATTCCAGAGTCCATAGAATGGCCACCTCTTCATCCGACGGAGTGACGCCATCGGCTGCAAGTCCGAACCGTCGGGAATATAGCTGACTAATTCCGGCTTCCTGCCGACGGACCGTGCCGTACACAGCTGAGTCAGTTTTCGCATAGCGACATTATTCCTCAGTTCATAAATTCCCGATCGGGACATATACTTGTGCTTCTCCAGAAGCATTCCGGATTGTCTTCATCCTCCATCAATTGGGCCTTCACCCTCTTCATCCCTTCCGCGGACAACTTCATTATGCATCTTCCAGTTCAGCCAGACAACTCAGCCCCCCCCTGTGTCACCGCCTCGTTATGCAAATTGCCACCGTTTGCTCTTTCACCGTCTTTCCCACTGATGTCATAGCAGTGTCGCTTCCAACAGTGAATCGTACATCATTGGAAGCTACTGATCTCCCCAGCATCATCGGTCAGGGGGCATGCAGCTCATCCCAAAAGGTGGCACCAGTAGCTGATGACGCCCAATGTGCCGAGTTGCCCGGTATCCCTTGAGCGGAGGCTGTGTGGCTTTGCCAAAAAGCGTGTCGGGCTCACGACGTGCTGTGCCTACTGTATACTAGACCAACAATCATCCACGCCAATACTCGAAAGTGGCGCCTTTCCCGCAGACTAAAATCTCTTTCGCCCGTCAGCGTACCTAATCGGTCGACGGAAAGCGGGGATAGCGAATGAATGAATCTGCCAGCACAGGTTGTCCCACAGTCTGACAGACCACACTTGACCTCACCTGCATAGGGATGGGATGGTTTCATGAGCGACTCCTTGTTGACATGGCTAAAGGAGATCCATTCGTTCCCAACGCTTGACGTCTGGCCACGATCGCCATGTTTCAGGGCTAGCGGGATTGATTCGTTCCCTGTTAACGCCCAATGTCTGAGCCCAGGCCCTGATAGGGCCACCATCCCCGGAGAGGCGCTGCCCGACCAGGTTTCCCATTGGGGTCTGTCTACTTTATATAGCCTCTCGAAAAATCTCTTCGCAACTCCCCCGATTCCTGGGGTGTGTACATCAGAAACTAACCTCTCCATCGCTTAATACATAATTCTAGCCGCTCACAAAGGACCCCTAGGCCGTCTGACTGTCTCATCTGCGAGTTGATTGACTGTTCTCTGTTCCATCTGGATCACTCCCGTGCCAATTGCTGTTTGCCAAACGCTCTTGTGTGTGTGTGTGTCTGCTATTTTTTCTTGCTCATCCTTTCGAGACCCTTTCTCGAGTGAGTCCGATGCTCGACGGATATATGATGCCAACTGCCCGGAAAGTATTTCTGATCCACCGTGCCACCGCAGGATAGCCCCCAGGACCGATACTTTCCCGTTGGAGCTTTGCTTTTCTTTGCTAAAAGTTCTTTGTTCTTCTGTTTCTATTACCAATGTATTCTACCACCAAGATGAGCTTGCGCTGGCGCAAGAAGACCCACTGGCCGCCGTCGCCATGTGTGGAAGACGAAGCTGTTTCCCTCTCCCGCGAATTACACGGATCGTCCCAAATTGGAGAAATGCCCGGACTCGAAGGTGTTTGCTCCCGCGGAACTGTCGACCAATACCCAGTCCTTGTGGATGTTTTCTCTTACTCTTCATATGAGGAGACGACCGTCATCTATGAGGACTTCAGCCGTGACAGCAGCTCCGAGGACAACGTAGGGCCGCCAACCCCGGTGGATGAGAAACAGGACCCGATGCTCTACCTTGTCGGGGATGACCAGGCAGTCTCGTTGTCCGCGCCACTTGCAAGTCGAGAGAAACCCCAGGACCAACCTAAGAAGCCAGCTGTTCAGAGGCAGGACTCTACGACGCGAGGCCGCCCCAGGGCGGATACTAGAGCCCAGAGAGACAGCCCGCCTAAGAGGGATACAGCCCAGAGTTCCCGGGATGCCTCGAGAGCTTCGAACATACGCACCCCTGCCGTCACACAAAGCAAGTCTACTCCATCGTTGCCCAGGAGATTCGGGAGTGTGAAACATGGCCGCTCCGCCGACGCCCTGACCACTAAATCCGGCTACCAGTCCGACTCGGCTACAGTCAAGTCCAAGACCAAGCCTGAACCTGTGAACAAACCTGCCGCGCCTCAAACGGACAAAAAGTCGTCCACTGGACTCTCCGTGGCAGAAAGGCTCGAAGAGAAAATCCGCCAGAGACAAGAACTTCGTGCCAAGGGAGGCTCAAGCGATGTGCCGAAGACGCCTAGTCCCCCGTCTACTGATCAACCCAGTGTCCCGGTTGAACTTCCCGCGGAGCCATCCATGACCCCTGCTGTCACTGCAACGCCGAAGAGCACCGCTCCAAAAACCCGTCCTAGGTCCACGTCGACGCCCAAGGAGCCAGCTACTGACCGCCATGCAGATGAACATGAGGCGTCCTCCTCAGCTGCAGCCCCGGCACCACAACTTCCACCACGCCCGGGATTGGCCACTAAGCCAGCAGGCCGATCAATCTCAAGCGACAAACCTCAGTCAACCGCTCAGCTGCCAGCCCGGCGGGCCGTATCTTTCCTGGATGACGTGCCGCAGAGGTCCTCGTCGCTCCCACGGACTCCCGAAGATATTCCTGAGCCACCGCCACTACCACGCCGACGGAGCTCCTCACAGGACGCTGTTCGCCATCGAAGTTCATCGCAGGATGCTGTCCGTCAAACATCGCCCAAACGGCCGTTTTTCCTCCCGCCCTGCCCCAGATCGACTCCCATCGCCGGATACCAGGACTGGCACACAGTCAAGGGACTACCTCATTTGAATATTTGCCCGTCATGCATGAAGCAAATGCGCAAGTCGGAGTTCCGCGACCACTTCGTCCTAGCCAGTCCCAGATCCCGTGGAGAGAAAATCCGCTGCTCCATGAGCGAGCCCTGGACCCGACTGGCATGGATGCAGACGCTCAAGAAGCAGCTAGACCACCTCGAACTGCTGCACCAGATCACGCGACCACCCCTCAGCATCAAGCCATGCCCGGGACGCATTATCACCGAGCAGCACTGGTACCGGATTGTGGACCCGGAAACGAACATGTACCTCCCGCAGTTCAACGTGTGCTCTGCCTGCGTGCGGAACCTACGCGTCCTGATGCCGCAGCACCGGGATACCTTCAAGCGGAGCTCCACCAAACAGGAACGAGCCTGCGACTTTCTGACAGACAGCCCGCGGTTTGTCCGGTACATCGACTGCCTGGACATAGCGGCCAACCGCGCCGACCAGGAACACATGCTGCGCCCCGACGTAACCGAGTTCCTCTCGTACGCTCGACGCAAGGTAGTGCTGCGGGACTGTCGGCGGGACCGACGGATCCTCAGCACGTGGCACTACATGCCGCAACTGCCAGAGCTGACAGTGTGCGAGGACTGCTACGATGACGTGGTGTGGCCGTTGGTCCGAGCCAAACATCCCATCGCGCGCAAGTTCTCGACGTCCATGCGACTGCTCCCCGGCGACGGACCGTCTCGGTGCCGCGAAGCAAGCTGTCAGCTGTACTCCCCGCGCATGCGTGCCAAGTTCGCCGAGGCGGTACAGTCGAACGACCTGATGTATCTGAAGCAGGTGGCGCTGCGCCGGCGCGACGCCGAGCAACGCTACCGGGACCGGGAGGAGGAATTGCTGGAAGACGCGAGTCGAGGATACGACGTGGAGGGAGAGATGCGGCGCAACGTGGAGGAATGGAAGCGAAACGAGTAGTTCGATACCATGTAATTCTTTGTTCGTGTTTGTGTGTGTGTTTTTGTCAGGAACCCGCCTGTATGTTAGTGTTGATGATACCTGTACACCTGATATCCAATCCAACCCAATCAATCAATCATCCTCCTTCCCCCCATCACTAGACACAGCAGCATTAGCAGCATCAACAATCCCCATCGCCTCCCCCAACCCAACAACCCTAAACCCCCTATCCCTCAAAACCGGCAACACCCTCCTCAACCCCTCAACCGTCCAACTCCTCCGATCATGCATCACAACAATACTCCCCTCCCTAACCGAACTCCTGACATGCCACGCATTCACCCCCGCCCACCCAATCTGCGCATCATGCGGATACACACTCCCAAGCACAATCCTATACCCAAGCCCCTTCACAAGCTCTCTCATCCACCCGGAAAAGAACCCCGATCCAGGTCTAAACCACTTCCGCACCACCCCCCTCCCATCCCTCGGCCGTTCCACCCCAACCTCCTCATACACCCTCGCAATCACCCCCTCCACCTCCACCATCTCCTGCTCCAGCACCTCCCTCCCCAGCGACACAGACGGCTCGTCGTGCATCGCGTGGTTCCCGAGTTCCATCCCGCTTTTCACTAGCGTGTGGAGTATCCCCTCCCGGCCGGGGATCTGTGACCCGATGAGGAAGAATGTCGCCCGTGCGTTGTATTCTTGGAGTACGTGTAGGATGTCGAGGGTGTAGGCGCTGGGAGCGTCGTCGATGGTTAGGGCGATGAGTTTCTCTTTCTCTTCCTTCCCACCATTCGCTTCTGGTTTGTTCTTGGTGTTGGGAGTATTGTAGGGGAGTGGTATCTCCCATAATGTATCCGGATACTTCTCCGCCATAGAGCGGATTAGGGCGTGTGGTGGTCGGTAGATTATGTATAGGGGGAGGAGGGCGAGGAGGATGAGCAGGAGGATGAGCAATGGGAGGAGCATGGTTAGGGTGCGGGTGCGGCGGTGTCGGGAGCGGAGGTGTGGGATGCGTGCGATCAGGGATGTGAATGGGATGGCGAGGACGCGGAGCGGGAAGAGGAGGAGGGAGGTTGGGTGCAGGCGGGGCATGCTTTGCTTTGTTTTGCTTTGCTTTGATTGTGCTTGGGGTGGGTGGTTCTTTGGGTATGTGGTGAGGATGGTGTGCGGAGGTGAGTTGGGTGTGGTTGTGGTTGTGGTTGTTGTTGTTGTTGTTGTTGTTGTGTGTAGTATTTGTGGGTGGAGGCCGGTGTAGCGAGTGGATGGTGTCAGGCCATGGTGAATATGTGTCGGTGGAGGAATTTCAAGGAGAGTTGATGTGAATGTAATGTATTCGACGATGTGATGTGGTGAGGAGGTTGAAATTGGGGAAATGTCAGGAGGCGGAGCGGAGGTATGCGGCGATCCCGTTGGAGCATGTCTGGTATGCATGTAAGGGATCTAGACCTTGCTGGGGTAGATACGACAAGAAGATGGAGTTTGGATATGCAATACAATATCTGCCATAATATATCTGCTATGTAACTAGGTATTATCCCACTAAGCCCACCACCTCTCCAGGCCATTTCTTCCCCCATACAATCGCCCGCGGTGGCACGCGACCTCCAACCGGCGCCAGCACTCGGATCTTGCCCTTCTCCGCGTCCACGTCCGCTACGTACAGGAAGCCCATGATGCTGGCATCGCGCACATCCGCCGGGCTGGCCGTCGAGCTTGCATGTGTGATGGCCAGCAGCGAATTAGCCAGCGCTGTCGGCGCAGGAGGTAGCACCTTCTTCAGTGGCACGTTGGACGACCCAGCCGGCGTCACCGTCTCCTTCACCGGTCCGGCAATCCCAGGCAGCGTCGGTGCTACCGGGGTCTCTTCCTGCGGAGTCTGTCCCAGGTCCACGTCGTTGCTCCCACCGGGGAGGAAGGCATCGCCGGTACCCAGCTGCGACGGGTCGTACTCATCTTCGTCCTCCTCTGCTGAGGCAATGGTGTAGTTGTAGACCGCTAAAGCACCAAAGTCCAGCTGCTGCGCATGCGGCGACAACGTAACATTTGTCGACGACGACGACGCAGACAGTGACAGCGCCGCCGATGCCGTTGAAGGGATTGGGTTGCCGAAGAAGTATGTCCGGATCTGCGACTCGCTGACAGCCTTCATGAACGCCGCATCACGATCAACACAACCCCCGGACTTGGACAGCTTGATCACCGAAATACGCTCATCCGACGCCGCTGCAGACGCACTGGCCGTAGGTTTGTTATCAAAGTTCTTCATCATGATGCTGTACAGTCGCTCGGAGCCGATAACCAGAATCGTCGTAACTGTGCCAAACATGTCAGCGCATACACCTTCACCAGGTGCAAGAAAAACTCACTCGCAAACTCCGTCACAATATGATTAATCATCTCGACATTCCCAGCTTTACTCTGACTCAAAATCCCCGGCGTATCCACAATAATGCCCGTCTCCCTAGCATCCTCATCCTCGGCCATCCTCCCCGTCACCGACAGCGCCAACCTCGACACGATAGACTTATACACAGACCCATCGGCCTCCAACGGATTCTGCATCGGATAGAAGTACACCAAAGGCAATTTCACCGGCACCGCACTCGGCCCGGACATGGGACTACTTCCCCAGCCTTCCTCGACATCAATCATCGTGCGGAACGCCGTAGCCGTCAACGTCCCCGGAACACTCAACATTCCCTCCGTAGGATCCAAATTAACCACCAGCGGCTGCCGGCCCACCTTAGTCGCATACGCCGTCAAGATCTTCGAAAGACTCGTCTTGCCCGCGTCTTCAGGTCCGAGAATCAGCACCCGCGGGCCATCCTTCCCCGTCGCCTTGGCCTCCTGTCGTAGTGTCTCCAGCGCAAAATGCACGTTCGCATATTCAATCATCGGTGTTTCCTCCGCCACGTACTCGCTCTGGCAGCCGCCCGCGCCGAGTCCGCGCGTCGCTGTTCCATTCGTTCCTCCCGGAGCGAGGCTGTCCAGGCCGGTGATGACCTCTCCGGCGCTGACTTCTAACGTGCATCCATGCCAGGTGTAGATTGCTGCTTTGGTGCCGGAGAAGGTGTAGGTTTGGGAGGGGGCTAGTTCGGTACCGAAGAGTTCGGCGGTTCCGGCTAAGAGCTAGTTCTCCAGGTGGTAGATATGTCAGTCAGCTGTCTCATATTGTGAATTGGGGAGATATGGAGATTGCCTGAGGAGGGGGGGTTATGGTAGCTCACCTTTACGCGGACGGTCGTGCCAAAGGCAACTTCGAACCGCCACTCGGAGCCCTTGGAGAGGCTGATCTGAGAGGGCGGGGCCGGGGCGAACTCGCGGTCCGCCGAGGGTTGTGTTAGATCGAGACCGGGGAGCGACATGGCATCGCCTGGATAATTGGGTTCGTTATCTGGAGTGTGGTATGCGGACTGGAGTTTCTGGTAGAGCTCCGAACAGGCGGAGAGAATGACGATGTTTAGCCTGTTTGCAGGACGGAACCGTCCCGACTGGTTCGCGTTCGCAGGACATCTTACTATTATCTTAAATTATCTATATTATACTTTAAGTGCTACACAAAATACCTACTATGGCAATTTTCAATTCATAGTTACTGCATATCCATCATTTGCAAATCTACCTAACAATGACATAACTCCGAACACAATCCAGTCAAACCATCCCGATTGCATCACGACTCCAGGGTACAGCCCCGGTCCAAATGGTGTAGAACAGAAAATAGAAAAAGGAAAAGAAAACCACATTATAGAGGCGTATATCAGGTATCCAGGAGATAATAAGAAACGGCATAGATAATGAACGAAACGAACCCAAGGCTTTCCTCGATCGCCAGGACCTCACCGGCCAATCCCCCGTGCGAACCACATCACTCGCACCCAGACGGCATCATTAGTAAAGAAATATTCGCGGCCAATACGATACATCAAGAATCACTTCAATTGGGACTTAGGGATCGTGATGCGCTCGGGTGGATTGGCCAAAGCCTGAACTCGGATGAATTCCAGAGTAGGGGCAAATTGTGAACGGATAAGGAACAGCTTCGGCTGTTTCTCCATTAAGCATCGTTCAAAACCATAGCAGTTGGGGAATAAGGGGGAGATTTTCCAAGGTGGTGGAATCGATGGCGGATTTGTCCAAACTTGAGCTGGACGTGGGCAAGCCGACACGGCGCATAATCACGACAATTTTGCTTCCAGATTGGCTAGGGTTTTTAGAAGAAATACGGAATCGAGGCGCTGTAAAGCAGGTTAGCAATATACTTAAAAGATTTGGCGTCATGCAAGACTTACGCAAGCGCAAAGGCAGCCGTAACGCCAACAAGAGCACGGTTCCGCACGCGCTCCTGCTTGAGCTTTTCCTCCAGAACCTTAGCCCTCTTCACACGGAGGGTCTTTGCTTCCTCATCTTCTTCCTCGTCATCGTCGCTGAGCACTTCCGTCTTGCGCTTCTGGGCTGCCTTGGCCGACGAGGGCTCCGCCGTCTCGGTCTGAAGCTTGACCGCCTCTTCTACCATTTCTTTCGCCTTGGCGATCATCTGCTCGGTATCGGCGGCAGACGGTGCCTCAGGAAGGCTGATAGGCATCTCAACGGAAACGGTGGTCTGGGAGGTTTTGGCCTCGTCAACAGTCTCCGCGTTGGTCTCAACATCGACCTTGACCTTCTCACGTTCCTCCTGCTCCTTCTCCTCGGGCTCTTCCGCACGAGCAGCCGTCCTCTTCGCCTTGGATGCGGATGCCGGTTTCTTCGGGGTAGGAGCGGGCTTCTCGTCGCCGTCCACTTCAACGCTCTGATGAACGGTGCCGGTGACCGATTCCGACTCCACGGTGGAAGCCGTCAAGTCCAAAGAAGACTGAAGGCTGGCGTTGGCAGCACTAGTCGCCGCAGCGTTGGCCTCTTTCATGGCGCGAGTCTGGCGGGGCTTACGCGGGGAGGTCGATTTCTTGCTTGGAGAAGCAGACCGTCCCCTACGGAGGCGCGGTGCAGTGAGAATGGCCGGGGCTTCGATCGGCGGCAAATCAAACCGAGGTGGCGGGGTAATTTGCTTCTTCGCGGACGAGGGGCTTTGAACGATGTCGGTAGGATCGAGAAGGGCCCTAACCCAGTCGTACATTTGGTACTCCTTTGCCAACTCAAGGGCTGAAAGTAATCAGAACAATGTTCATATCTGCTGAAGTGTGATACTTACCAAGCAGAGGCGAGATCCAAACATTGCCGGCGATCTCGTCTTCGCTAGTCTCTGTCCGAGTCTTCAGGTACTCCCGCTCAGACCGTTCTTCATCGAGCTTTGCCCAAGGGAAGGCAATCTTGAACATTCCGGTAGCACTGACAAATCCATCTTTGCTACGTCTCTATAGCGACAGGTCAACAACCATTCTATGACATCACATTTAATTCATTCTCGGCCATCCTTACCATCAAAAAGTAGGTTTCGGGATGCTGTTGAGGAGAGTGTGAGGGGAAGATCTCGGAGCCCTTGAGGTCTCTAGGCAGCGGCGCGCGCAAGTGTGCATACTCGAAGGGGCCGAGGTTTTCAGGCTTTGTCGCATTTGACGTGCCAACCTGGGTGGGTTTCACGGCGAGGTTGGTCTTTCCCAGACGACGGCGCGAAAGAAGTTCATCGTCTGAAGTCGCAGGAGGTAGAAGGAGACAGATTAGTCTGGCGCACGCTTTGGTGGAGATATCGGCATGCCACGATCGAGTCTGAGCTCGGGCGCTAGCTGGAATCATAACTTACAAGCAGGAGCCACGTCCGCAAGGATGAGAGGGTTGTTTTTCTTCGGCAATGAGCGCACCATGATGAATGATCAGGCTCGCAAGCAGGGTCAATGGAGAAGCGAGGGGTATCGGATGAGGGTTGGTGATGAGAGAAGATGCGTCGCCAAAACGGCGGCCACGTTGCAGGCGCGTCTGTCGGCGCTCTCCAGGCGAGGTAGGTCGCGAAAGCAAACACGGCACCACAAGAGGGCGCACAGAGACAAACACCGCGGGTTGAGATGAGCGGGTGATGGATAGGAACGCTCAGGCAGAGAGCCGCGACGACCCAGGTGATAATGGAATGGAAGTCAGGGCGCGGGTTCGATAAGCAGGATCAAAGAAATGCGTAGGGGAAGGAAAATAATCAGGGAATCGAAAGCAAATTGGGGAGGGCGATTGATTCCCACCGTGACCGGCTGTGACCGTCTGGGAACCCCCACAGTACCGCGCTACTGTGACACCACTGCAGCAATGAACCAATCATGATTTTAGCTTTTGGTGGGGCAAGCCAAAACAGCAAGTATCTGCGGTGCCGGCCCATCCCCCGGTATCTGTTGTGACGTGTTTGGCTCATCATGGTATCGCTGCCTTGACGCCTCACCGCTGCCGGTTGTCCCCGTGACGCCCAATCCATTACGATTTTTGTTGTTTTCGGGTTCCTTGTAATGGGTTCCATGGCTGCGGTTCGCGTAAGGTTATCTACTTATTCTACCAGAAGAACCTTGCCTTTACTGGTTCAAGCCCAAGGCAATGATTCAATTGTATTGAAACTAATTCATGAATTTGTATTTGGTGCTGAGTTGGGCCACCCGCATACACCATGCATAATGCCTATGCGCAATATGCCGTGAGTCGGACATTCAGGCAACTTGGGTTTGGTGCATTCGGGGCACTGGATTCGAATGAAACACGCCCACCATGGCTGCAAAGCATGAAACAGCTTAACCGCTGGCTTAGTATCTCTTCCAATTGCTGAAGCAAATTTTCCAAATGAGTAATTAGTACTAGTACTAGTAGTAACCTGAGCACTCGAAGTCCAGACTTGTCTTAGACATATTATTGTACTAGTATGTGGTTAGTACTAGTATACCAGCGATATAAATAACCTAACTACTATGGCCATTCATATGATAGTAAGGTAGCTCAACCCAGCCACTACTAGTATCATTAGGTACACCTTGAAGCACATTGGATAATAATAGTAGTAGAGCCTCAATCGAGTTGGATGAATTAAGTACAGCACGCAAACACCCACCATCTCTCGCCCAATCGTCAGAGTCAGACTTCATCACCGGGAATTAGGCGTGGATGAGGAAATAAGCTACTGTAAATTGCACGGCAGCCATCCGGATAAAGAGGCTTAAACTGAGCAGATGAACGGATAGTTATCAAGCATCTATAAGAGTATTTCCAAGATAGTATCCCATCCAAACCAATCGAACCCGAGCAAAAAATTCACCTCCAAGTGCAGTTAATACTCAATGGTAGGTACCAGACTGTAGCAGTTCCATGACATCTCATTTCCGGCATTCCATCCAGGGAGATGGACCTCGGTGTTTGTAGAGCAACCTAACATGGTCTCATTTCTCGTCAGGATCGTGAAGTCAAAAGAAGGATCAAGATCCCCAAATTATCATCCATTCCAAAAATACCCATTGCGTGGCCTGTTCCATGGATTGCTCTGGCTCCCCTTAATCTTTCGGCGGACACCAGGCAAGAAGAAGGTCTGGTCTGGCCCATCCACTTCCATCCACTCCCATCCACTCCTCCACCGCCTTTCTTTTCCCTCCCCCCCACTTGTTACTTTAGTCCACTGCTTCCACTCCAAAACATCCCTAAACAATTCTCTCCTCAGCAGTTTCCTGTATTCCTATCGTCTGGTACGTGATGTGCGATGTTCCTTGGTCCCCTCTGACGAAGACTCACCTTTTCCTAGTCTATATATCCCGTTTGCGAGGAGCAATATCAGCATTCTCCCTCCCATTTCCCCCCTATCTCCAAATACCCCACCAACAACAATCATGCCCGAGCACGAAGAAGATCTCGTTGCCTCCCAGACCGAGGGTTTCAAGGTCGGAGAGAAGAAGACCATTGAAGAGTACCAGAACCTTGGTATGTGCTATCTACGCTCGCCTGCCCCTCTCCCTGGCAATCCGATACCCCTCCCACTCCCCGTGGTAGTAGCCTCGTGGCATCCAACATCGCCGCCGCCCCCTTGCTTGCTGCTCAATCCCGTCAAACGTACATCGCAAGCATTTCTGACACTCCACCGTTGAGATTGGCAATTGTGTCTCTTGCATAACCCTATTTTCTCCATTGGAACCATCCACCCGCCTTGAATTCTCTCTAATTCGGAACATTTACAGACGCGAACGACGAGTCTCTCAACCGCTGGAAGGCCTCTCTGGGTCTGGCCACTGGAACTCCCATTGGCGACCCCAATGACCCCAGAAAGTGCATCATCAAGTCTCTTGCCCTGGAGGTGGAGGGACGTCCCGATGTTGTGATTGACCTGTCTACTCCCAATGCGCTCGAGACCCTCAAGGACAAGCCCTTCACGATCAAGGAGGGTGCCACCTTCCACATCAAGGTCGTCTTCCAGGTGCACCATGAGGTTCTGAGCGGTCTCAAGTACCTTCAGGTGGTGAAGCGCAAGGGTATCAGAGTTAGCAAGGACGAGGAGATGCTGGTAAGTGCTCTAATTTCGACAATCGTGGTAGGATGTAAGCCAAGTACTCACTCGCCCATAGGGAAGCTACGCCCCCAGCACCACCGACAAGCCCGTTTACGAGAAGAAGTGTAAGCCAGAACCCTCTACAAAAAAAAGACCAAAAATAGAGACATGGCAGTAACTAACCCAACCCAGTCAACGCCGAGGAAGCCCCCTCGGGCATGATGTTCCGTGGCCACTACAACGCCGTGTCCAAGTTCGTCGACGACGACAACCACACCCACCTCCAGTTCGAGTGGTCCTTCGACATCGCCAAGGACTGGTAGAAAGAATGAAATGAATTTTGTCGTTTAGAATAGTCAGTCGGACTGGCTCTGCTTTCTGGCTTTTCCCATCACAACTTTCTTTCTCTCTTTCTTTTCCACCCTCTCATATATGAAACTATGAACTGTTTACCCTGCCTACCCATATCATACTCCATGAGAAAGCGCAAGCACATCACACCATATCCCTGCCTTTTCTTCGCAGTTTTACTAGCGTTGGACCTACCTCCCTATCCGCATCTTACTATTGTCCGAGTTTTGGAATACAATATTATATTTTACAACTCTTTTATTGTCTGCAAGGTTTTTCTTGATGAATGGCCTTGAGTATCTGGGATTAGAATCGCCCTATCTACTACATTCCGATGACCGCATACCATGCATACATACTAAGGGCCGTTTTGCGTGCGGCCCGGCCCGGTCCTATCCTGTCCTGGGCCTTTTTCTTTTTTCTGTTTCTCCCCTCTGGGAACCGAGAAATCCTATGTGTGACTGACTAATTTTTCTAAATTTTCTAACTGCATCTTGCTGTCGTACATCGCACCATGGGATATTTGTCTATAAATGCCTGTGATATTTACCAAACTCCCCAAGAAGATCCATGAATGATTTGTAAGAGGATGTGGGTTTGAAAAAAAGACACAAGAAAAGAAAGGGAAAGAAGCAAAAACAACAGCAAAAAAGCAACCTCAGGCAAAAAAAGTAAAGAGAATCGAGAAAAAAAAAATTAGAAGGAAAAAGATAAGAAGGGTATCACAGAAAGTAGTCAATCACCGGACTCTGGCCATCCTTGTTCTGCTGCGCCTGCTGCTCGCCCCGATGGATATCATTTTCCGGCGCGGCGTCAAAAATATTGAAATACCGTTCGCCTGTATCACTGACCTCCAGGACACTAGCTAGGTTTCCGCACCGGTAACAGTAATTCGGTGCACTCCAGACCGTACTGAGCCGGTCATCGTAGAGAACTTGATATCCCTCCTGACACAGCTGGTGAGCCCGTAGGATATGCGACATGCTGTTGACCTCGAGGAATTTGCGGACCACCTGCGCACCGAACGTATAGCCCGCTCCACGCGGCGACAGGGAGAATTCATCCCGTTCGGTGTCGGGATCGGACCAAACCAGATCGGCCATGGGACCTTCGTGTGGGATCTCGCGGAACCGGTCGATGATTTTGATTTGGTCGATGGAGTGGATGGATGGGGAAAGGCCGCCGTGGACGCAGAAGATCTGGTCATTGATGACCACACTCAAGGTCAGGAAGTCGAACATATCCGTGAAGTAATGCCAAACGTTGGCATTGCCGTATTTGCGCGCGCATTCCGTGTAGAATCCGTATGATTGCGTTACACCACGCGACTCATGATTGCCGCGGATAAGGTGGACGCGCTGGGGGTATCGCAGTTTCAAGCACACGAGGAGGGAGATTGTCTCCACGCTGAACAAGCCTCGATCAACGTAGTCGCCTGTTTGAATTGGAAGAAAAAACGTCCGTCAGCACTCATGCTCGCACATAAACCGTATTCTCTCTGGGGATCGGCACGCCTTTTCTTGTTGCTGCCCATTTCCCTTCTTTCCCCGCCAACGACCAATATAATATCACGCGGAATACTAACCAAGAAACAAGTAGTTTGTATTGGGACAGAACCCTCCGATCTTGAATATCTCAATCATGTCGAAGAACTGTCCGTGGATATCTCCGACCACCGTGACCGGAGCCGCAATGTGGACGACATTGCTCTCTTTCATCAACAATTCCTTCGCCTTGGCGCATATCGCTTCGATCACCGAGTCTGCCAGCAACTCTTTCCGGTAGAGTCTCTCAATGCACTCGTCGAGGTCGATACTAGCTGATCCAATGGTGAGGGGCCGCACAGGACGAGTAGAGGAAAGAATGCTTACCTGGTAATCCAGGCATTTCGGAGCAGATATATTAATCAACTCAGGAGATTCAAAGATATCTGTATATTCATGCAGCGCGCAACGTTCAATTGCGCTCAATAACAGAAAATGGAGGCTCAGAAGTCCACCGTAAGTCGTGTATAGGTGCCCAAAAAGAAGGAGAAATGATCAACGGATTTAAAAACACCGCTATTATAAGCGGAGAGTGAATAGTAGTCGTTCCGGTTCGCGAAGGGATATGTTTGTTTGAGAGGTTCCTGCAGTAGCTCGCATCATGGCCAACGGCACACAGTACGCAGGAGCAGGAGTGAGCGTCTCACAGGGGGCGACCTGTGACCGGTGTGGGAAGAGCAGGGCCTAGACGCGGGTTCGGAGGGGTGTGAGTAAAATGTCGGAGAGCTTGCGCTGCACTTAATCCATATTTCGGAAAGACTCTGTACTTCTAACAGATGGGGATGAAGCAAACCAGGATTATCGACAGGCACGAAAGCCCATTCAACCCGCCGAGGGATTCCTGGCCACATTCTGCCGGGTGGCACCGCCTGATGTTCCGTCCGCATCATCGATGAAGTCTGGCGGTTGGAGGTGTGAATATCCATACATCGCTTGTCTCGGTGGCTTTGCCAGCATATAACTATCAGAAGGCTACATTATGCATAATGGCTTTCAGATCTGGTGCTCCGGAGGTACGAAAGATCTCCTGCCAGCACCCATATTCTGTACTAGAGTGAAGTATTTGAATACGGAGTGCAGGCCGTCACATCTAGAATTGGAAGTATATCAAGTTGGTCTATGCAGCTAATCTGTACAAAATGCTCTTCCCATCTCTCCAATTGGGTATCACTGCTTCAAGAGTCCTGCACTCTGCCCCTGCTCTTCTTCATCCGTCTCATATTCTTCATCTGTTTCCTCCTCTTCGTCCGTTTCCTCGTCCGTCACTTCCTCGTATTCAGAGTCGGTTACCTCTTCCTCTGTTTCTGTCTCTTCCTCAGTCTCCGTCTCGGGCTCCTCAAGCCACTGGTCGAGTGACTTCCCCTTCGCTGAGGAGGCACCCGCTACTCCGCGACCATCCCGTTGCCTGCCCGAAGTTGCAGCGGTACTTTCATGCTCCTTAAGGGCTCGATCAAGCCGCTCGCCCGCAGTCAAGGAGGACTTTTCTACCACGTTTGGTTTAATATCGTTCTCTCGGAGGCGTGGGTCGGGCTCTTGTCCGGACTCAACCCATTCAGGGAGGCTTTGATAGCCATTCAAACCAAGCATTCCAGCGTCGGGACCAACAACGAGGGTCGAGGAGCCAATCAGCAGGTCCTTGCGTGTTTCTGACGGGCTTGGGGCATGTGGAACAGGCTTTGGGGCAAGTAATAGCAGATTAGCCAGTTGTGTAGAAGAAGGAGAAGCGAGCAAAGCCTTGTATAGGCGGGCACGGTCGCGGAGATCGTAGGAAGGATCATATCGAGCAAGGAGAAGAAGGTACCGCCAGAGCAGCGTCATCCTATCTTCTTCGGGTTCATCACTCTGCGGTTTCTCGTCGCCTGAATCCTCTTTCCGCTCCTCTTCGTTCTCCGTCCACTCGTTGACGATCTTCTCAGGCTTGGGCTCTGGTGGCGGCACCTCCTTTGGAGGGTTTCGCAACAGATGATGCAAATATACCTTAGCCCCCAGGAGGATGATCTGCTGCTTAACGGCCTCGGATTCATTTGCAAAGTCTTGTACCAGAATGCGCAGGATATCGGCCGCAATATTTCTCTCAGGCGCCACACCGGCAAATTCTCCGACCAGCCAAATAATGGTTGCTCTGGCATCGGGATTCTTTGTTAATCCCAAATGCTTGACAAGCTGAATCACTGTCTTCTCGTGTGAAGGTGGGTCCTGCTGGATGAGGTGTCTGATAACGGTCAACGACTCTGAAACAAGGTTGTCGTCCAGACTCGTAACTTGACTCAAAAGAACGCGGAGACAATGATCAGCACTTCGAGGTTCACTCTGTGCGCAGCGTCCTATAGCACGCACGCTTTCTCGCACTAGGTCTGGGTCCGAGCTTTGAGAAAAGTGTTCCAGTTCGCTGAGGATCACGCCTTTCAAGTGCAGCCCGCAGTGGGGAAAGAGTAAAGTGAGTACTTCCAGCTTGAGGCGCCAGATATGAGGCGGATCTACCGCGTGGACCAGGAAGTGCGTAGTGTATTTCGTAAACGGCTTGGGGTGTTTTAGGGCAACGGCGACAATGTTATATAGCGCAACATGCTGCGTATCCTGTGGGCTCCGAACCAGCGCAACTAGAGGACCAACGGCGGCATCGAGATACTCTGGAGTGCCGAGGTAAAGGAAACACCGGACAACGCCAACAATCACAGCGGAGTTGCGATTTTGCAGCAACAGCTTGCAAGTACGCAAGAAGAACTCAAGATCAGGATCCAGCACAAGCACTTCATGCTCGTTATCATCACCATTGCTCTCCGGCGCCTTATCGTCCTCGTAGAAGCCTTTAGAAACTGCCTGTTTGCCTTTCTGGACCTTGCGAGGGAAGCACTTCCTGGCGTAAAAGGTCAGAAGACGCAGTGTTGAGAGTTGGCTCCATTCGTCCATGTCAACGAGCTTCTTGACAAGGCTTCGGTAATGCTTATGGATGAGGTCGATTCTGTCCGGACAAACATCTAGGAAAGCGGCGACAGCAGGCCCGAGGACAAAGTACTGGCTATCACCGAGCAAAGTAGTAAGATACCCAATCAGCTGAGGGAGTGTACTCGGGTCCAGGCGATAACACTTTGGGATTGCCAGTGCTGCGGCTTTGCGAACATGTGGGCTCATGTCGCCGCAGCCTCTTTTGATTGCAAGGGACACAATTTGACTGATGACTGGTACTCTGATTCCGGACATTGTACGAAGCGCCATAGCCCGCGAGTGGGGGTTCTGATCGGTAAGCGACTTCTGGATGGCATTGATAGATAGGAGCGCAAGGTCCGGTTCCGCCTCCGCATGATGGACCAAATAGATGTAGACCAACTTCTTGACCTCAAGATTCGAACTAGCCACGTTTTTGACCACAGCTGAGAAGAAAGGAAGGGAGGGTTCGGATCGGTACATCAACTATATGGCGCAAAACCAAAAGAGCGTTAGACAATGGATTCTTGCATTTAGGCATCTCGGGGCCTTACCGTAATCACCCGGCGCATGCCATCCAGGACCTCCCGGTCATTCCGACTATCCAGAAGCTTTTTGATGTGAGCAGTAGCCAGATTCCGAGACGATAAACCCGTGCTAGACCCCTTACTCAGGGCTGCTGATTGGGCTGCTTCGAGGGTGAGCTCACGAGCTGCTCGCACGATCAGTTAGTTGATTTGTCCAAATGCGGAGGACAATTGGCGAGCAACTGTCCGCGGTGACATTACCTGTTTCCAGCATCGTGGATATTCTGGAAATGGTCTCCATTTTGGCCCCGAGGTCCTTCGCATAGACGCAATAACAGATCAGACCTGGGGAGGGGGGTGTCCCTAATAGAGGGGAGCTGGAGGAAGTTGGGAGTTCCGCGGCGGCGGGCGGGCAGCTGACATGACGATTGGGTAACGTGCTTAACTACGGCTACTTTCCATCATCCGCTAATCCCACTTGCTATCTCGGTAACCATCACCAAGCAGGAGATTAGGAGGACTTATTATCGTTCACCCCCTTGATATATCATTTTTATCAATGATATTTTTAATTTCTACATAGAATTTACTATTAATTTTACCTGCAGTAAACAACCAGATGTCTCGACGGCCTTCGATGGGAGAGGCTTATGACTTGCGGCGTCATGTCTGTGTGACTGAGAAGTCGCTTTAGAGCATGGCAACTCCATTTGTTGTTTTTACGTCGTGTTTTGATATGGAGGAAGCAATATTCTGAATAGAGATGACGTGATCAGCGAAGTCTAGCAAAACCTGCTCATATATTAACATCAGGTGATGGATCATGGCCTGAAGCCACGAAGTTGGCTAACTGGCTCCTATCCATAGAATGGTGAAGTAGGGTGACCCCTTCATCCCAGATATCTTGGTCTACATGATTTAAACTCTCGCCATCGTGAATAATCCATTCACAATCTTCGCTTTACTTGTGATACTAGGCACGCTGCTCGCCGTTCCCACAACGGACTCTCGCGGCACGGCATCATCGTCCCTGATCTGGGTTTCCTGCTTGAGAGGATCGCCGTCAGCATCAGAGCTGGAAAGCGCTGATACCTTCCAGGCTCGCACAAGTCCGAGGCAAATGCATGCTGCCATGAACATGAAGCCAACAAATATCTGGGCATGCAGGAAGTTAGTTCCGTTGTCGGTGCGTAGCCAAAGAGCGATCGGTTCAGCAAATGTGCTCGGGATGACGACTGAAAGCCAGAAGATCGACAATGCCGATGGCAAGAGTTGTAATCCCACAACCTCCACGCCAACTGGAGCTACAGTAGTCGTGAAGGTCGCAGCAAAAGGACCGCTAATCAACGCATAGAAGATGAGGACTCCGAAATCTTTGGCAAAGACCCAGATGATGAGAGAAAACAGGCCAGCCAAAAAGGTACAAGCAAGAGCGGTGTTCAGCCGTCCAAAGCTGTCGCTGACGTACCCTATAACAGGTCGCCCAAGGCCTCCTCCAAGACTGAACATGGCACCAACAATTGAGCCTTGAGATGCGGTCAGGCCTACGGTGGTTGCATAGTCGGGAATGGAGAACAGAAGGGCCACGTAGCCCAACACGCTAAAGCAACCCCAGGCCAAAGTGAGCAGGAACTCTGGTCTTCTTAAAAGCTCTGTATGGAAGGCGATTTGAACAGCCCCAATGGCCTTGTTTCGATCCCTTACAATGATAACAGAGAAGCCGCATGCAGCAGCGGAGACGATTGCCAGGATGCGGAAAGCCCAGCCAATACCCCATCTCTGAATCATGGCACTTGTAGCCAATGAATAGATAAGGCCTCCGATTCCCGATCCAGCCGTTGCAATACCATTGGCAAGGGGCCGACGGCGGGTGAACCACTGAGAAATAATGCCAACAGTAGCACTGAATTGCATGCCCATGCCAAATCCAAAGTGCAGAGCTTGGCTGAGGAACAATTGCCATATCTGACCCGCCCATGACGCTTCCAACAATGCCGCGGTCTGCAATGTGATACCGATCATCAAGGTAACTCTTGTCCCCCACATTCGAGTCGTGATTGTTGCGACTGGCGCGATGAATTGAGCCATACTGAGGGAGAGGCCTCCGACAAAGGCATAGTCTAGGTCTGATGCTCCTGGGAATGTATTTGTGTCCAGATAGTGGGCCAGAAAGACACCATAGGCCTATTTGCGACAAGAGTTAGCAAATAAGCCTTGTCTAGAAGACCATGAGTGAGGCCTTACACTGTTGATCCCCCAAGTATGAGCATTGACCAGAAAGACGCACAGCACACAGATCCAGCCATAACCACCGTCAACCTCTATGGGTGCTGATGATTGAGTCTGTTCGGGGTCGGGTAAATTGTCATCGGCTGTGCCATTTTTGGATAGCACCGTCTCTGGACAGTCAGTAGAAGGATGAATGGCATCGTGGTCAGGCACAGCCGCCGTCATCGTGTAGCTTGAGTCACCGCCCTTCTCAGAATGCATATCTCTGCTCGTCACCAGCAGGAGGGCTTGAAAAGATTATAATACGGAATAGAATGAAGAGGAAGCGATGCCACAGTTTGTCTTCGATTGAATGACATACTACTAGATACATAAGTAGTGATATGAGAAGGCCCATTGAGATATGATTATATCAGCCCCATATATAAGAAGACATTGGCAAAGTAATTGACAGGGATCTAGTTGACTATCACTCCGATTGAGTCATACCATCGTTGCACTTAGTGTAACTGTCCGACTAACATAGAAATTGCGTACACCAGCTCGGCGTGCATAAGGCTATCTATACACCCCTGTAGATAGTCTCCAGTTATGATGGAACCTTAGATTAAGTGTGGAGGCATCTACTATAGTGTCTTCCGGTTATCAGTTGCTATAACCTTTCTTGATTCGAAGCTAATCTAGTACTTTCCCACGCCTCATTATGCTGATAGGACACACCCTCTGCTTGTCTTCAATGCCCAGAAAGAAAGATGACATGAACAGTACTAGTGTATGACCAAATAGACGGAGCAGGTAAGCGCTGATAGTCACTAGCCGTACTAGGTAGAGTAAGGGAAGGCTCCAATTAGACCTACTAGGTGGCATGTGATTGTTGTCTGATATATTATCTAAGTTGACTCTCGGCACCAACTGGATATAGTTCAAGTAAACAGGTAAACGGTCAACCAATTGCAGCTGACGGAGCTGCATTATTAAATTCATATAAACTTGATAATAACTGGGGCACGTTGTATAGATCTGAACGAGCCTTCCTCTTCTACGGTACTATAGATGCTGCGGTAGCAATTAAAAGCACCAATCAGAAGCGCCACATCAAACGGTTCAACCACCCTCTGCAAATCCTAACCCAACCACTAGGTAGACTACTAGACTACTAGTCATAAGTAGATAGCTCAGCGCTAATGCACTCCACAACTCATCCATCCATCCATCCACCTACATAGTAACAAACCGTCTATCAATCTATCCACAGAATCAAACACCACTTAGTACTATTTATCATGACCCCACCCCCAACCCGACAAATCTACACCACCAGCGACCGCATAACAGAGTTCCTCCAACACATCATCACCCAAGACGCCCCCACCACAATACTACTCATATGCTCAACAAAGGAACAATTCCTAGAGCAATTACTACTCGCCTCAGGCCCCGGAACTGAAGAACACAATCAACATAACCACATACTTACTAAAAACACCATCGGGGTGCTGTCCAAATCAAGCAGCATTAAGTTAGTGTACTGCCCTACGCTGGAACATCTTCGAGCGTATTTGTCTGTGATACGATTGCCGGAAGATGGAGTAGGGTTGCAGCGAGAGTTGTTGACTACTACTGCCGAGGAGAAGGGAAGGCAGACGAAACAACCACCACCTCTGATGGCTATCTTGAACCCGTTGGCTTTACATGTTCCTACTTCGGAGTTCTCTGCTCAGGGGTTGTCGAGGACGTTTGCGGCGGTGGTGGAGGTGGCGGACCGAGGGGGGATGGATCTTGTGCTGTGTGAATGTAGAGATGTTGGTGATTCTACGGGGGTTGGGAGTGGGATTGGGAGGGGGGAGGTGTCATGGCATACGCAGGTGCCGCTGTTGAACAGCTCTGTGCGGGTTGGAGAAGAAAATACTTCGTATCGAGGGGGTGGAGTGCCAGTTCAAAGGGTCGTGCAGCGGTGGTTCGAATTTAATGATAATGAGGCTCCGATTACAGACACTACAATCATAGACGTCTGACGATTTGAATGACAGTAATAGAGCAAGATATGTAACATAAGACAATGTAAACCCCCATAATCAACCGGGTATCCTTGAACCAGCCCTAAACTCCCGATTTGACACCGTAATGAATTCCCAAACTTATAGGCATTTCTCCATGTCCGTGATATAGAGTTTGATATGTGATTCCAACTTCAAATATTCATCGTGAGCGCTTTGAATTTCGCTCTCGATGTTCTCCTTGAGATCGGCCATCTGGGGAAAAAATTAGTAAAGTGTGTAAAGCCAAAGAAAACAAGAGATATTTACCTTCTTCTCAGTTTGTTCGATCCGAATTCTCCTCCGCTCCATGTCGCGCTGCTTTTCAGCTCGCTCCTCCCGAAGTTGTTTCTGGACCTCCCGGAGTTCTTCCATACGCGCCTGCGCTACTTCCGCTTTTTCTTGAGCATTCTTTCGTAGAGCCTCGATCCTCTCATTCCATCGTGCCAGCTGCCGCTGCAGCAACTTCTCGGTCTGCTCCACCTCCCTAACATTGTTCCCTCGCTCGGAAATGGCTTCTCTATTTCTAGAGGCCCTTGACTCTTCATCATCTTCCTTTTGCAGTTCCACGGATATATCTTCGAGAAGGCGCACGCAGGCTTGCACGTCGTTACTAACGACCGTAAACGTGTCTGATGATGTTTGCAGAGCCCTCGCTCGTTTTTCCATCGCATCGATTTGCGCTTTCTCGCGGAGGAGATTCTCCGACAATTCACTCAACGAGGCCTGGAGAGAAATGGGGCTCTCCATTACATAAGGACGCAGTTTCTCAACTTCTTGCCGCGTACGAACGACCCTTTCTGTCTTCTCCTCGAGTTGCGCTTGCCGTCTTGCCTTATCCGCCTTGGCTCTTTCTAGCATCTCGGCCACTCGCTCTTGGTTGCGCCGCAGTTCGAGTAGTCGCGCTTTCAACTCGTCGTTACGTCGTACCTTGTCCTTAACTTGTGCCTCGTTGGCCTTCATAGTCCGGCGCATTTCTTCGAGGCGCTGCTCCATCTCCTGGTTCTCCGTGTATAGGGTGTCAATGCGCGATTTGACCTTCTCGCCCTTGTTGAAGTGCTCATCAATAACGGGCGTTTGAGATTCGCGGAATCTAACAAAGTTGATGAGATAGGAGAATATCTTGACGAGTCGATCATGCGTAGGCTTGGTGAGATCGGTAAACATAAAATCATTGACACCGCACTATATCGCCGTATGCCAAGTTAGATCCGACTGAGCTCGTCTGGTTCGGTGTAAAGCGGGTTCATACGCACCTCCATCATCAACCGCCGTAAGCTGGTAAAGAACCCCATGAGGTTGCGCGTGTCAGTAGGTACGATGTCGGGGTAGTCGCCGCAGATATCGTCCGCCGCAGCTCGCATCGCTGGCTCTACGGTTTCGCGTGTCATATTCATGAGGAGCTCAGCAAACCATTCAAAGACCATTTGAATCTGTTGCGGGTTTGGCTTGATCAAGTCGGCGGCGGTGAAAGGGATGCCGATGTCATTAATGCATCCTGCGATTTCCTTGTCCGGCTGCTAGCAGTATTAGATATTGTAAGCGAAGATGCCTTGTTCGACCGTGAACTGACCAGGCGCATGAGAGCATCATTATCATCCTCCTTTTTGCGACCTCTATTGTGGTGTTGCTGGGAGCCATGGAATTGCTGGCTCATTCGGCTGCCGTACGCCATTGTTCCTCGTAGTCCAAGCTAAGACGATGAGCTACAGAAATCACTCGAACACGGCCAAGGCAGAGTGGTGGCGAGATTGGTGCCCGCTCGATGGATGTTATGATGATTGTTTACTGCGCAGGACTCGCATGGCAACCAGAAGCGGATTAGCGCGGTGGGAGAGGGGCATCACAGACAAACAATGCAAACCTACTCCACGCTTCCCTTTTTCGATGACTCTTTGCGGCGGCCACAGCGGAATTACCTGTGGACAGTGAACCAGTGTTAGAGAGTGCTTTCCTGCTGTGAACGCGAGGTTTTCCAGCTCACGGCTCTCAACTTCTCGGAGTATTATCGCTTCTCGGCGTTCTTCAGACATCATGGCAGCTCCCACATCGGCCGCCGCCAAGCCGTTCGAGTAAGTCACCTACTTCACATCCAGGAAGTTCTAGTCCTTTGGATCGCTAATCTTTGTTCTTTCCAGCATTGTCGCGACCTACAATGACTTGCTCCGCTCCGACCCCGACCTGACTATGCCAATTGCAGCTATCGAAGCTCTGGTACTACTCCTTACAAACTCTCCCTCCTCGACGATATCCGAGACGCTCGACCTTCTCGAGAAATCTACTGCACACCTGAAACAGTCAATCCCGAACCCCATTGGTCTCTCCGCTGGAACCGACCTCTTCCAGCGGTACCTGATCACTACCCTGCAGAGACCCGGACAGCTCGGGCCCGCAGGTGATTTCAACGCGATTAGGGCGCATCTTCTGTCCAACGGACGGTTGTTCATTAGGCGTGCGAAGGAGAGTCGAGACAAGATCGCGGCGTTTGGACGAGGCTTTGTACGCGATGGAAGCACAGTTTTGACGAACGGAGGATCGCGAGTTGTCGCTTCGTTGCTACAGAAGGCTGCGGATGAGAAGGGCGGCCCATCGGCAGTGCGGTTCAAGGTGATCTATGTCCTGTCATCGGCGAAGGGTACTGGTGCGCATTCCGATGAGCCGGAGGGTATGGAGACTGTGCGCGCTCTCCGGGCGAAGGGTGTTCCTGTCGCTACGATCCCGGAGTCGGCTGTTGCATACTCGATGGGCAAGGCCGACACTGTCATTGTCGGTGCCGAGGGTGTGGTTGAAAACGGTGGAATCGTGTCGCGCATGGGAACCTACCAGATCGGTCTTCTTGCTAAGGCTATGGGCAAACCCTTCTACGTTGTGGCGGAGAGCCACAAGTTCGTCCGTATCTACCCGCTCAGCCAGTATGATTTGCCGATTGAGCAGCGCGTGATCGATTTCAAGACTGAAGAAGATGTTGCCGACGAGGCGAAGCAACAGCAAGCTTTGTCTACGGATGCAGCTGTTGCCAAGGCCGTCAAAACGGCAGACAGTGCTGATGTAGTTGACTTCACTCCCCCCCATCTGATCTCTGCCTTGATTACCGACAGCGGTGTCTTGACGCCAAGTGCAGTCAGTGAGGAGCTGATCAAGATTTGGTTCTAATTTTCTATTTCCATTCCGCGCCCTTCCATACAGGCATGAGGCGTGGAGCTTGTGATGTCTTTTAAAAACTGAATGAAGCGGATTGGCGTTAAGGTCATGATATCTCCGGATACTCAAGGTGTTTATTGGTTTGCAATGTGATATCTGTCTGCAAATCTCAAAGAAAATAACAGCTGAATAGAACTAGGATTACAAGTCCGACAAGGACCGTAGCAATTACTATTTTCCAATATACAAAATGCCGAATCCCGGCATATTGGCTATTCACAGCCACACCCGCCGCCGTTGTTTCATGCCACACTAAGATAATCTTAGTACACCTCACCGCGTTAGTGAGGTTTTTGTCTTAAGGGGCAGATGTAGCTGACTACTAGTCATCATTCTTGCCTATAAATTACGTGAGACATTGGAAGCGTGTGATGCAACTGCTCTATACTTGCGTCATAGTATGTTTGTTTGTATTTGTATTGTAAGCTATACAGTTTGCGGGGGATTCTGCCGAGGCTATCCTCATTCAACATTCAAGGCAGTAGGCGGTGAAGGAGGCAACGGACTTGCCATATTAGGCTGGAAGTACTCCGTAATGGCTTCCCCCTATGATTTCATTCCGCGATGGACATCTTGTTCATGAACTCCTACCATGTAGTTTATCTAGCCCCCTGCAGCCGCCATTGGCTTTCATTTTCTTACTGTACCACGCTCCAAGCCTTGTTCATGAGGTGTCATCCGTCTTACTCCCTGCATTAAGCCTGTACACCTGATACCGTCGATCGCAAAAGACTTCCGCCCTACGTCTCCTTGTCTGCGCGCAGTTTCGTATTCGTTTCTGCTGATCGGCCGCTGCACGAGCCAGCCTTACCAGCCCGCGGTCATACTCCGTCTTTTGCTATAGGATCCACCCTCAAACGTCCAGCACTCACCCCCCTTCCTGTCTGTGTCAGCTTTCTGCATGTGTCAGATTTCGTCTATCTATATAACTATTGGGGTGCTGGCTCTCCGGTTCCTTGGATCCATGTGAACCGACGAATTCCTCCTATTGCTTTTGTCCCTGCCCGCAGCATGTCTTCGGCCGTTCAACCACCTAATGGCTCCCCTTTACTACGGCCCCGTGCCGTTCCGGGGTCGAAGAATCTAGACGATTTGACGGCAATTTCCCCCTTGGATAAAGCTGATTCGAGGTGAGTACTTGCATACGGAATTACTAGAATGGCTGGTGCTAACTTTCCTTACTAGTGGCCGCTCAACCCCGGTCCCCGACGATGCTCCCCCCTCCGCGCATTCAATCTCCACAGCAAGAAAGCAAGCACGAGCCCGGACTCGAATATTTTATACAATCGATTATGTTCCTCGAGTATCCCATTTTGACCCGCGCAGCGAGTACCGCGACTTCCGCGGCTTCTATACCTTATTTTGGATTGCATTGTTTATCATGGTCGTTACTACGATGCTTCGGAATATCAAGGATACTGGCTATCCCCTGAGGATCAGAGTATGGAGCCTGTTGTCAGAAAACGTGTGGTCCATGGGGTTCAGTGACGTGGCCATGGTGGTCAGTAGCGCAGTGGTCCTGCCGCTCCACCATCTCATACGAAAAAGCGGTAGCTTGATGCGCTGGGGAAGAGGTGGCATGGTCGTGCAAAGCATCTTCGAGGCAGGCTGGGCCATTCTATGGATCAAGTAAGTTGGCATCTCACTGTACCTTCGGCTAGATGCAGCAGCTAACCAGGCTCGTAGTTGGCCGTTTATGATGCGCTGGACCTGGACGGCCCAGGTCTTCTTCACCCTTCATACTCTAACCATTCTGATGAAGGTGCACTCCTATGCGT